CTTGGGGGAGCTGCTCTGCCCCCTGCCTGGTGCAGGGCTCAGTGTGGGTTGTTTACCCCGTGAGGCCCCAGGAGGAACAACCGCAGTGGTGGCGGCCAGCTCTGGAGCCCTGGATTCAGCTCCCACAGTAACTACAGAGCTCTCGGTCTGCAGGGGCCTGGATGTTCCGGGGGCGGGGCCGCTGATCTGCTCAGCTTCGGGGCAGGAGCGTCCTTGCTGTCCTGGACCCTCCCAGCCTCTGCCTGTCCCGGAGGGAGGCCGGATCCTGGGCTGTGTCCCGGTGCCCTGTGCTCCGGGACCTGTGCTGTTGGATTCGTGCTCCGGGCCGCGCAGCCCTCTCTGGGGCCGCCGCCCGAGCCCCTCTGAGCTGCTCCCGGCTGTGCAGCCCCCTCCGCGGAGCCGCCGCCCGAGCCCCTCTGAGCTGCTCCAGGTCCAGCCATGCGCGCTGCAGCCCTCCAGGGAGCTCCGCGTACTCTCCCTGGCGGCAGGTGTCTGTTACTGTCCCAGGGAGCCTGAGGGCACCCCCGCCCTCCTGGGGTCCTGCTCCAACTCCCTGCGAGGCCTTTCCACCCGGGAAGATTGGTGCAGCTCCTGCTTCTCTGGGACGGAGCTCTCCTGTCCTGGGGACACTCGCCCCGGCCTTAACCCAGGTCCTCTCGGGCCCGTCCCCCTTGGATGCCTTTTGTTTCTTTTTTTTTCCCCCCATCTTCCTACCTTGATAGCGCGAACTCTTCTCACTGTAGCATTCCAGCTGTTCTCTCTTTAAATCTCAGGCCGAATTCATAGATTTTCAGGATAATTTGAAGGTTATATAGGTAATTTGGTGGGGACAGGTGATTTGGAGACCCTACTCTTCCGCCATTTTGCCCCTCCTCCCTCCTATTTCTCTTTTATTAAATTTAACCCTAAATATTTTTATGCTATTGTAAATGAATTTGTAGTCTATGACCTAATTTCACTTATTAGTTCTAATAGTTGTTTTGTAGATTTCATAGGATTATTCATGTATAAGATTATGTTATCTGTAAATGACCTTTTTTTTTCTCCTCTTTCCAGTCTTTATGCCTTCCTTTTTGTTGTGTTATTACCCTGACTGTACCCTCCAGTGTAATACTGAATTGAAATGGTAAAAGCAGAAATCCTTCTTTGTTCCTGATCTTAGGTAGAAAACATTTGAGTATTATGTTACCTGTAGATTTTTGTAGATGCTTATAATCAGGTTTAAGAGTCCCCTTGTATTTTTAGTTTATTCAAGGACTTTGATCATGAGTAGATGTTGGAAGTTTTTTCTTTTGTTTTTGTCTTCTTAATATGGTAAATTATATTGATTCCTGGCTGCTTAAATCAAACTTAAATTCCTGGAAATCAACTCCACTTGGTTCTGATTATTATCCTTTTTATATATTGTTCAGTTGAATTTCCTAAGAAATTTTTTAGGAAATTTTTTATGTGTTTGAACATTAGAATATTAATCTATAGTTATGCTTTCTTGTTTTGTGTTTGTTTGGATTTGGGATAGCATTGGCCTTACATATGATTTGGGAAGATTCTAGGCAAGATTGGTATTATTTCTTCCTTGAGAATTCACCAACAAAGCAGTCTAGACCGGGAGTTTGGGGTTTTTTAGGGGCAAGGAGGGAGATTTATGAATTTTATATATTTAGTTAGATATGGCAGTTTTCAAAATTTCTGTCTTGGGGTTTTGTCATTTGTATCTTTTGAGGAAATTTTTCCAGTGCATCTTTCTAAGTTGTCAACTGTATTGGCATAAAATTGTCCAAAATATGGCCTAATTCTCTTAATGTCTGTAGATTTTATAGTGATAGTCCCTCTTAATTGCTTTTAATAGATGTCTTTTCTTTTTTTCTTTATGAGTCTAGCCTAGAGGGTTATCAGTTTTATTATTTCATTAATCAGCTCTCATGATTGGTTTCTCTATTTTTATATTTCGTTGATTGCTGCTCTTTATTCTTCTAGCTTGAGATTTCTGATTTAAGATAGGAAGTAAGATCACTAATTTTGGATTTTTTGAAAAGCTGAATTCTATCAATTCCTAGTAAACACAGCTTTAGTTGCATCCTACAGATTTTAATAATTTATAATTTCATCATTCCATTCAGAAATGTTTTTCAGTGTTTCTTTTTATTCCTTCTTTGACCATGAATTATTTAGAAATGTATTACTTTACTTTCCAAATATTTGGGGTTTTCCTAGTTATCTTATTTTTAGTTGATTTCTAATTTAATTCCATTCAGAGAACGTATCTTGAATTTCAGTCTTTTAAATTTATTGACACTTGTTTTATGACCTAGCACATCCTGGTGAACTTAACACATGCACTTGAATGTGTGTTTGTCATTATTAGGTATCATGTTCTTTAAATGTCACTTATATCAGGGATGATGTTCAGATCGTCTTTGCTTATTTTTTCCTGGTTATATTGGTTGCTGAGAGAAGGGTGGAGAAACAGGTTACAACTCTGATAGCTGGTCAGGTATGGGAATAATTGCATAGGGACATGCATATGAGGATAGGAGTAATTGTGACCATACTTAAAACCTACCACAGGGTTCATTTTATCTATTATGTTTTTGTATATATTTTAAATTTTCCATAATAAAAATTTCAAAACTAAAACCTCTCAGGGTAATGAGATGTCACATATTTCAGACATATTCATGCAGATGTATAGAAAATATTTAGAATTTCTGTTTTTACCTCATCATTTAAAGAATTGTATTTTGACATGTTTTACAGTACATGGTATATTTAATTTTAAAATGTAGATACATGGGGGGGACAATTATATATTTTTGGCTATTTTGTTTAAAAACAGTTTCATCCCAATGAACATGTCAGTTTTGTTCCAGAAGTCATGATATCATTTGGATAGTCTTGTATAAAGACTTGTAAATTTATGAAGTATAAATTTCACATAAAAATTTTTTGTATGATATTCATTTTTAAATGCTTTGTTTTGTCAGGTTTTTAATTAGGAGGTGTTTTTATAATCTCGCTGTTAGAACTTAAATTTTTAAGTTACTGTTTCAGAGAAGGCTATACCTATAATCCCAAAATTAGGTCAGCACTGTGAGTTTAGAAGGAAACAAAACAATCTTAACAAGAAAAGAGGCAAAAAAAAAAAATAGTATCCTTCATTCAGTTCCCTTCATAAGTTATGAAATCAATAGCATCAGTAGTAAAAAGGGGGACAGGCAGTTATGTACTATCTACACCTATTGTTACTCCTGAAAAACTTACTCTTTTCCATCTGGAATGTTCACTTCAAGAATCATTTGAAATAAGAAAAGCAAAGGGAATAATATGATTGATATATAGAAAATAAGTCAGTTACACAGAACCTATACTGGCTTCAATTCCTTCTCAACCCCATCCACCAACCTCTATTCCATGTTAAGAACAAAGTGTAAATCACGAAGAACACATTCCAGGTGTTTTTAAAATTTGTAGTTCTCAGACTCCTACAATTTAGCTTTTTTGCCCATTTGGTACTATTAACTTTCTCATATTAGAGCATTTTACTTTATAAATTCTTTAGCTTCAGTACTTTGTATATTAAGAATATATTTAGGGGTGCCCGGGTGGCTCAGTTCTTTAAGTGTTTGCCTTCTGCTCAGGTCATGATCTTCAAAGTCAAGCTCACATTGGGCTCCCTGCTCAGTGGGGAGCCTGCTTCTCCCTCTCCCTGCTGCTCCCCTGCTTGCGTTCTTCTTCTGTCAAATAAATAAAATCTTTTAAAAATGAAAGAATATGTTTGTGAATCTGAAAGAATGTATTCTTAAGGGGTTTTTTAAAAGAACCACTATTAACATTATAAGGTGATTATTTACCATATCATAAGACAATTAAACAAATGTTTTTTGGAGGCTTAAACACATATGTTTTTTGGAAAGGTTGTTCTTTGTTCGTAAACCTTTAGATAATCAAAAACTTAACTACATTTCCCATTTCTTGAGCATAATGTGATTAAGATTTTCCTTAATCTAAAAGCAACTTTACAAAATCTAGTAACATATTTAAAAAACAATGCCCAGTTAGGTCTCTTTTACTGGTCAACACCATTAGGTTGGAGAATTGAATTTCTGGTTTTTAAAGTGGGGTTTATTTATTAAAGCAGTACAGACAGTGATATATTTGGATATTAGCAGGTTATTTGGCAGTCCATCATGAGACCTCTTGAAGACCAGAACTAAGAAACATAGGCTGAATGATAATACAATTAGACTGATTTGTAATTTATTTAACTCAATTAACACAGATTGAATTCTTGTCATCTAGAAGGATATAGCATTCGGTCCTTTTTTTTTTTTTTAAGCAGTAATTTAAATGAGGACATAACATGTTGTATTGTCTTTCTAGTTCACAGACGTGAATCTGGGACACATATTCTGATAAATAAGGTGACATTTGTTTAGAAAAATGATGTTGATAAGTTAGAAAAGGATCTCATTAATAAGATACCTGTTACTAAACAAATGTAAACTCTTTTCCTTTGTCCCCCCAGAAAGATAATTTAATAATACATCATAAAAAAGAGGTTCCAAAGCACATATAATGACGTAGAACGTATTTCCCATTATATTTCAGAAAAGCAAGATTCAGAATTATATTCATAATGGGATCTCAATTTTGTGTTAAAATATATATATTAGAAAGTATACAACAATTCTGGATGGTATGCTTAGGAGAAGTTTTCCAAAAGGAAATTTTGGAAAAAGGAAAAATTTTGCCTATTTTCCAAATTTTCTACAGTGAGTCTAGAGACACATTGGAGATAAAGTGTTTAATGTTTTTGAACCACAAATTTGCAGTCTGTGCATGTTAACTTATATTGTCACAATAAAGATCTCCTCTTTTATTTGTCTCTAAAAATAGTCGCCTTGGTATAAAAGTCAGCCTCAGCTACAGAGGACTAATATTTTCTCACTCCTCTATCATGAATCCATTTACTGTTTTCATTTTTTTCTCTTTTATCAAAGGTTGAATTAATAAAGGGGAATTTACAAAGTGTCGGACTTACACTTCGTCTTGTCCAGTCAACTGACGGGTACGCTGGGCATGTCATAATTGAGACTGTGGCCCCAAACTCGCCTGCTGCACTTGCAGATCTTCAACGGGGAGACCGGCTGATTGCTATTGGAGGTAATTATGCTAATACATGATACACTTTACATTTATGGAAAAATTAGAGAGCAAATGTGGGAGTTTTCCTTATCTCATTCTTTCTGTGAGCACATGTTACTTTTATAATGAAAAGAGAATAACTTTATTAAAAATAAAAATATGAAGGAACCCTTAATTTAAAACACCAATGCCATTTTAGTCCTGATGTATAAATCTTTAAAATACTTCATCTTTAGGCCACTCTTTGGTAAACTTCTCTAATTTTCCTTTCTGTCCCACCTTTTTTTCCTCTAGTATGGAAGAAAGGGCAGGTCAGTAGTTCCTTCTGTATAACTACCACCATAACTAGTCTGGCCCTAAAATTGATGGTATTAGCACTATGACATAGGACTAGATAATGAGCATGAGAGGGACTAATATTTTTTGTCGAAGGGGGCATACTTGAACTGTCCTGTGGCCCCATATTGATGGCTCTGTATTGTCCCTGATCGGCCAGCCATTTATTAATATGCAGTCATTAGGATACAGCCCAAATCACTATTGCTGGTGGAAGAATGTGTCACCTGCATGCCTTCCTATCAGTTGGATTGATAACTACATAAACTCTGTTGATAGGCAGATTATTTGCTTGGATATTTATGAATAAGCAGTAGGACTCCCTATAAGCACCAATGGGGAAAAAGTCCAAACCTTTGCAGACCTTTGTAGTACCTGGCACCCCCTTCTAGACTTGTCAAGAGATTTATTGAATACATGGTTGGTCATGGCTGAGCTTCCAAAGACAATGTGGTATATTCTCTCACAGCTAAGATAATAAATAACAAGGTAGATCAGTTCCTAAAGTACAGAGTTTTTCCTTAGTTACATGTTAAACTTTTGATTCAAACCCTCATGACAGTAAAATAATGAAAATAATTTAGTGCACACTTAGAAGCCCAACTAAGTCCTTATTTTTACATGGAAATCCCTCTGATATGTCATAGTGCTTCTCAAACCTTCTTATGTATTCTAGTCACCCAGACATGGTGATGAAATATGGATTCTATTTCAGTAGACCTGGACCGAGGCCCAAGATTCTGCATTTCTCACAAGCCCCCAGTGCTGCTGCTGTTCATAGATACTTAGGATAGCATACCCATGAAATAGACCACCTCTGTTACATGGTTTTTTAACATAAACATAGCAGTTACTCTCCCTCAACTAAATACTATAATTCAGTATAAATTTTTTATATCTACACGTACTCTTGTTCTGGTTTCACCTACAGGATATAATTTTTTTCTTTTTTATGTTGTTTTATGAATTTTTTTGTTTTCAGTTACATGTGTAGTAAATATTCTCAAAAATAGATATTCCCCCCAAAAAAAGCATAATAAATGTCTACAGAGTGGAAAAAGTAAAGGTCACCACTTTGAGGCTAACATTTATAAAAACAAAATATTTACTGAGATAACGGACAAATACATATTTATTTTTATAGCTGTAATTTGTTTATATGGGTGTATAATTTTTTAAATAATCCGTAATGAGATTGGCGGTAGCTGAAATAAGATTGACAAAATGCTTAATATATTTGAAGCTCAATGATGGAATTAATTTTTCTATTTCCTCTACTTTTGTGTTTATTTGTAACATTGCAAAGAAAAGGAATCCACATTTGGCCAACTAGCCCTAAGAAAGACAGTGATGGTCTCCACAAAGCTCCTGGTGATTAGGGAAGAGATGAAGGCAGGTGTTAAGTCCCAAAGAATGAATTTAGATTGAGTTGAAGTTTTCCCTACTACAGCTCAGTAGACGGACTTATTTTTCATTTGTACATATGTCAGACTATAATTTTGCTGGAATATAGTGTGGCTAGAGGGAAAGAGCAGGCTGGATGAATCATGGAGAGAGCCACATTAGAAAGCTCTGGCTTTCAGTGTAATGAGTTTGTACACTAAAGGTTTTCAAGTCAAAGCTTTAGGAAAACTGGGGAGCAGTATGTTTGGTGATTAAAACAGGGAAGGTCTGAGGGGTCACAGCAAGGTGCTGTTGATTCTTGTAATTGAAGCCAATGACCAGGTGGATCGGAACATGAGAGGAAAAGGACTTAAAACTCTGATAGAACAAAGAGCTGCTTAGATCTGGGGGTCAGCGGTCTCTGGGGTGCAAATTGGGTTAATTGGGAGGATGGCAAGTTAATTCACATAGTGAGGGCCAGAGAGTGAAGCTCAGAGATGGGTCTTAACTACGCTGAATTTGTTAGGTTGAAGAAACATCTTAAGTGCTGATCTTGGGAAGTAGTTATGGATGTAGGACTAGGATGAAGAAGAGGTGAAACCAACCAAAGAAAACATTGAACATTGCTGCCACTGAGGTGGATGTGATCCAGGCAGAGAGCAAAAAGGGAGAGAATTACAAGAACAGGACATACAAAACCATGAGGACGTTTGCATACAAGGAGCAGATATAGGTGGAGAAAAAGGAGAGGTGGTCAGAACCAAATTAGTACAGTGTTGTGAAAACCTAGAAAAAGGCTTTAAAGGGGAAGAAGGAAGAGAATAAAAATATGAGCCAGGATAGCTTATGGAGCAAAGTCCTGAAGGAGATGGGGGAGTAGGATCCAAAATACAAGCAAAAGGCTACTTCATCCTGAGATAGGTTCATACTAAAAATGGTTGGCCAGGAGGAAAGTGGTGGCTGCTTGGTGATCTCTTCAGTCAATAAGGACATATCACCTGCAGAATAAAAGCCAGTAGGGAGGATAGGCTTCAGGGGAACAGGGAGTTTTTGAAGCTGGGGTTTTGGAGACTTAGTTGTTTAGAGACCAGAAATAATTCAGAAGAATGCTCCTGCAGCATTGAATGCCTTTCTGAAGATGGTCAGCACTAGATCCCCGTGGTACTCCCAGGAGCAGAAAAGCGAGATGGGGCTAGCAAGCTGGGATCAGAAAGCCAGTTAGACACATGAGGAAAAAGGGCCAGGGCAAAAGAATCTGAAATCTTGATGTGAACATCAGTGAAATCTTGAGACTAAAGTTGGGGAGAAAATCAAGTGATATCAGACCAGGAATAATTGGGCCTGGAAACTACCACAAAACAACCAGTTAGCAGAAAGCATTGTGCAAAGTGGGAAATAGACTATGAGCAGGGATGAATTGTGAGTAAAAGACCTTGGTGGAGAGAATTGTAAGTGATAACCAAGTCTAAAGCATGATCTTGCCTTAACCACTGAGGTAGCAGAAGATAAACGTTGAGGAACTCTGAAGTCAGTTGGGGAGATGGGGCTGATGTTTCTCTGATTGACTGATTGACTTAGACCTTTGGAAAGCAGAGACCCTTTCTTACCTTTTTCTAAGTCCTACAGAAAGGGATGGCTTGGGTAAGGACTGTTTGGGGAGGGGTGAGGAGCAGGCAGGAAACAAATAGAGCCTATAAAGATAACACTTAGAGTCTCTCTGGAAGACTCCACCAGAAACTGCTAGCTTGGATTGCCTCAGGGAAGGGACTGTGTGGTTGGGAAATAGGGGTGGAAGGGAGATTTTACACTCTATATTTTTCTGTACCTTTTGAATTTCACACTGTGTTAATGTAGCCACCTATTAGAACATTATAAAATGAAAAATAAGCTGTTATTATTGATGCAGATAGTAACCAGCTTTAAATTGCTGTGTAAAGCAATTTATGCTTTCCTTGTTCTTTCTGATCCTGATAAAAGGATTAGTTTGATGAGTAGGGCTAATAAAAAAAATATGTAAAAGAGTCCACTATTTATAATACAGTCCCACTATTTATAATACAGTATTTTGCTAAGTTTACTTCAAGCATCAGCCTCTGAATTTGATCATTCACCACATTTCTGTATTGCTTTTCCATAATCATGAACTAATGGCAGTTACATTCAGCAAATTCAGGTGATTTTCATGGCAGTTACATTCAGCAAATTCAAGTGATTTTTCATGGCAGTACTTCACATGTTTTTCCTCTTAAAACCTTCAACAGGTGTGAAAATCACATCTACCCTACAAGTGTTAAAGCTGATCAAGCAGGCCGGGGACCGGGTCCTGGTGTATTATGAGAGGCCTGTCGGCCAGAGCAATCAAGGTGCAGCGCTGCAAGATAATTTTGGACAGTTGGAAGAAAACTTTCTATCAAGCTCATGCCAACCAAACTATGAAGAAGAAAGCACTGGGTTGGCAGTAGATGCTGAAAATAGAGATTTGGATTCTGAATTTGAAGACCTGGCAAGTGATGTAAGAACACAGAATGAGCTCAAAGACGAGGTTCCATCAGTAAGTCACAGCCCCAAACGTACACCAACAACACTTTCTGTTAAACCCCTTGGAACAATATCACCAGTTTTAAACCGTAAATTAGTTGTAGGAAGTCACCTACCACCACCAAAACCTCCATGTAAAGAGGGAAATAAACCCTTGGCCCTAAAAGCTTCTGAGATAACAGATCCAACACAAGTGTCAAAACCCACCCAAGGATCCACTTTCAAACCACCCGTGCCACCACGACCACAAGTGAAAGTTCCTTTGCCTTCTGTTGATCCCCCAAATCAGACAGAACCAGATGTTCTCACTGAAAAGCCAGAAAAGGTGCTGCCTCCTCCTCCTGCAGATAAACCTGCTGAAAAGCAAGCAAAAACTATGGATCACACAGAAGATGTAGCTGCATCTAAGCAATTTTTAGCAAAGCAAGAAGTAACAAGAGATTTTACTTCAGAAAGTTCCTGCCCTCCTAAGGATGGTTCGGATGACCCTCAAACATGGGAATCCTCAGAAATTCCTTACCGTAATAAGCTAGGAAAATGGACAAGAGCCAGAGCAACCTGTTTCTTTGACATAGAAGCCTGCCACAGATACTTAAACATTGCATTGTGGTGCAGAGATCCTTTCAAGTTAGGGGGTCTTATCTGTTTGGGGCATGTTAGCTTAAAACTTGAAGAGGTGGCTTTAGGATGCCTGGCTACATCAAACATGGAATACTTTTCAAAATTCAGATTGGAAGCCCCATCACCTAAGGCAATGGTCACAAGAACCGCACTACGCAATCTGAGTATGCAGAAGGGATTCAATGACAAATTTTGCTTTGGTGACATTACCATTCACTTCAAATATTTGAAAGAAGGAGAACCAGACCACCATGTAGTTACTAACGTAGAGAAAGAAAAAGAACTCCATTTGGTCGAAGAGGTTTCTGCCCTACCTAAAGAGGAGCATTTTGTTGGACAGATGGGTTTAACAGAAAATAAACATAGTTTCCAGGATACTCAGTTCCAGAACCCAACTTGGTGTGATTACTGTAAGAAAAAAGTGTGGACTAAAGCTGCTTCCCAGTGTATGTTCTGTGCTTATGTTTGCCATAAAAAATGTCAGGAAAAGTGTCTAGCGGAGACTCCTCTCTGTGGAGCAACTGATAGGCGGATAGACCGGACCCTGAAAAACCTCAGGCTGGAAGGACAAGAAACCTTCTTAGGCCTGCCTCCTCGTGTTGATGCTGAAGCTAGCAAGTCCGTCAATAAAACAACAGGTTTGACAAGACACATTATCAACACAAGCTCTCGTTTGTTAAATTTGCGCCAAGTCTCTAAAACTCGCCTTTCTGAACCAGGAACTGATCTAGTGGAACCTTCACCAAAACACACACCCAACACATCCGACAATGAAGGCAGTGACACAGAAGTCTGTGGTCCAAACAGTCCTTCTAAACGAGGAAACAACACAGGAATAAAGTTGGTGAGAAAGGAGGGTGGTCTGGATGACAGCGTTTTCATTGCAGTTAAAGAAATTGGCCGTGATCTGTACAGGGGCCTGCCTACAGAGGAGAGGATCCAGAAACTAGAGTTCATGCTGGATAAACTGCAGAATGAAATTGACCAGGAGCTGGAACATAATAATTCCCTTGTTAGAGAAGAAAAAGAAACAACTGAATCAAGGAAAAAATCCCTTCTTTCTGCTGCTTTATCTAAATCAGGTGAAAGACTACAAGCTCTAACACTTCTCATGATCCACTACAGAGCAGGCATTGAAGATCTTGAATCTTTAGAAAGTCTGTCTTTAGACCAGCACTCAAAAAAAATAAGCAAGTACACAGATGATACAGAAGAAGATCTTGATAATGAGATAACCCAACTAATAGACTCCCAGCCATTCAGCAGCATATCAGAGGATTTGTTTGGCCCATCTGAGTCTGTTTAACAAACCGCTGATTTAAACTTTCGAGTGGTTGGGGGAAAGTTGCATCTTAAGTACCATGTGTAAGCCCTCTTCTAATGCACTTCAGCCTGCTTCTCCACAGCAATTTGCTTGTGTAAGAACAAGAGTGAAAAAGGTTGTTTTTTGGGAAAAACATGACCAGCTCACTAAATTGGTTGTTTCAGATTGCGTTTATAGCTATGCTTTTTTGGGTTTATACTGGGAATTTATTTTTACTAATTTATTTTTAACTTTTTCTAATTATGTAATTATGTAAGCTAACTTTTCATGTTTATGTACGTGTGATGTCTCATTGTGTTATTTTCCTTCATCTTAGTTTTTGAATGAGTGTTAAATAGGATACTGTCCAAATTCTTGAAGATTTTCATTTCCATCACGGTTATAACAAGTTTGCTGCATGCCCAAATCGACAACAGCAATCATTGAGGGAACAGGTTTTGAGTCTTTGTGTTAGGAAGTTTGTCATCTCTACTTGCTTGAGATTTTTGTTATTTTGGGGTTTGGGGGCGGTTTTTTTGTTTTTGCCAAATGTAACATAAAAGCAGATGCTGCGGCTTTAGTCAGTTACACTGATTTAGTAAAAAAAAAAAAAGTTACATATAGTGCTTGCTTTCTATCCTTCTGTGAATTTTTTTCTAGTTTTTGTGCAGTTTTAGTGAGAATACAGTTATTAATTTGAAGAGGTTGCATTGAAAAAATGTAATAGGGAATAGAGAATGCAGTTGGTCAGTTTTGTAGAGAAGATTACTAAAAACACAGTAACCAGTAGGATTTTGAAAGATAATCTTTCGATATGTTGATGCTTTCTCCTTTTAAATGGAAGTTCTGAATATTTATGATTTTCATCTTCAGTTCTCCCATGGGAAATAAAGCATGTCAAGGATAGAGTTTCAGAGAACTGTTCTTAAAATGGCCGTGTTGATAACTGGGTTTGGCTCTTTTGTTTTAGGAACATATTCATGCAGGAGGGTGTTATGAAAGAAAGGAATCATGCAGGATAGATTTATTGCTTTTCTGACATGCTGCCCGTTGAAGGAATGGTGGTCATTCTGAACACTTCTGTAGTTCAGATAGTCTTTTGTTTAAAAAAAAGAAAATAAAAATTAACAGTATAGATACATAGGAATTGGCATCAGTTCTTTGATAATGAAGATCTGTTCTGATACTCCGTCCATTGTATGGACGCCAGGAACACATGACTGAGGGAAAACATGAGAGCATGACCTCTGTGTTGGTATACCATACAAGTTTTGGCCTTTTACATGTCTATTTTCCTTTTGTAGGTAACTGCTATGATAATTGACATATAGTAAAGACTGATATGAATTTAAAGCTAGGTGGGACAGTTTTGATGGACAGCAGAAAGAAGCATAGTAGAAGAGTAAGGGTTCCAGCCCAGGTCTACAGCCCAGGACTCCAGACAAGAGCTTAAGATCAAGCTCTTCCACTGGCCATTAATGAACTCTGTAACCACAAGAGGGTTCCGTGCTGCAGTCTCCCCAGCTCCAAAGTAGGAATAAACAATACTCTAACTACCTCACAGGATTGTTGTGAGGAGAAAACAGAACTGCGAAAGTGCTCTAAACAGTCAAAAGCTATTCAAAAAAGGTATGACTCATATGGGTGGGGGGGACAAAAACAATTTTGAGGGCAGAAAAGTTATTCCACTTTGAAAATCAATAGCCAGTTCTCATTCTTGCTGTTTTATTGGGTGAAATATTAGGAAGAACCTTTATTGGCCAAGTTGATAACAAAACTATCTGTGTATCCCCTTTTTTTGTTGCTAAGCATGCTTGCATTTTAAAAGAACACTGCTGTAGAAGTCTTTATATACCAACTTCTCTGAAAGCTAAAAAAAAAGTTCTGTAACATGCTTGAAACAATCTGCCCAATGGAATAACCAACTTTTATCTTATGAAAAATAACTTACCAATGATGACCTGGAAGGCCAGTGTCTGTAAGTGGCTGGTGTGTATGGATGGATGACACCACAGAAGTTTTAGTGACATCCAAGCATGCTGCTGAAACCGATGCATTTGAAAGAGCTGCAGAAATAATGCAAAATTTTGGTTTCTTAAAAATCTACTCCTGTTTTAAAAGTATTTAACTCTGTAGAACCACAATTATGAAAAGCTCAGTAATGCTGCTAATGATATTTGTAAAATCTACCTTTAATGTAGTGCAATATTTTTATATCTACTGGGACAGGCAGTAGAGGCATCACAGTTGTGCTTTAGTGCAGGGGAGGGGGGAAATCACTCCAAACAGCCTAGGGGATAGTGAGGTGTAAGGCTTCCATGAAAACAGTTGTATTCTATTACATTCCTGATGTAATCTTGCTGCCATGCTATGTTATCGATAGCTAAAAAATAATAAAAAAAACTACCACAGAAAACAAGAATATCTTCATTTACTGACATCTGAAAGAGGTGATGGCTGCATCTCTCTGGAATTACTGCCTGGTTGAATTTGGCAATCAGGCTCTTCACAAAATGCCCTTTTGCTAAACAAAATTGCTATTTTGAAATTTGCCTAAAAGCATTAAGTTCTGGTTTTATGGTTGTTTTTGTAAGCTGTGAAATATCAGATGTATGGATTGGCCCTGCTATTTATTAGGAATTAGACTGCTTTCTGTATTTCTGGTATTTAGGTGAAGAACTAGGTTAGACAATCAAGCTGAACAACATTTTGGCATTATTTTGATAGCAGAATTAATATGCTACATTTCCTAATATCAAGCCCTGTACTCTTGAGTATCAGAGTATCTGAGATCCTATTGGCCATTTTATGATTTTGAGAGAGAAAAAAAAAGCTGAAAATTGGAGGGTACGGTCAAGTTCTAAATTTATCTGGATTTTTTGAAAGGCAGTTTGAAAATAACTTGGCTATTGCTTATAAAGATAAGATTTTAATTTCCCTAAAAGTGAATAAATTTAAAATCACTTTAATTTAAAAATGTATTGTCTTTCTTTCTAAATTGAGATAATAGCTTTCCTTTAATTAAAAGGGTTGGGGAAGGTTTAGAGTCCCTCTGAGTAAAACTGCCATTCTTTCTCACACCTGTGAATCTCATGCCTGAAAGTACACACCCTGAGTTGTGTAGATTCCAGGGCCCTGTGGGCTCACCTTGTGGAAGAGCTTAGTTACTTCTGTCAGATAGAGTTATTTGTTCACAACACTCAGGAAAACAGTCTAACTTTAGAAATGCAAGAATAACTTACTGGGCTTTTCCACATTGACACCATGGGACTAGTTACAGATTTCAATTTAAAGCCAAAAAGTAGGGTTCAGACTAACCTGAATTTTACCTGATGCCTGCAAGCAGAGAAGAATAGTTTTTAATTAGATATTCACAGTCAAAACAATACCTCATGCATGTTATTCCAATGATCATGTCTGGCTTATAAAGGAATACAAACAGGCACAGTAGTGTTCAGAAGATTTATTAAGGAAACTGGCTAAAACATGTATGCACATACACTTAGCAGTTGAAAGAATTGAATATTCTTTGCTACCTCATTAATGTTTTTGTATCTATTTTGGTAGGTACAAACATAACCCACCACTGCTCAAGAAAACATTCAGGGAGCTGTATGTTCACAGTTCTGATACACACATTAAAAGAAAAAAAAAAAGCCTCACTTCACAGTCTTGCTAACCTCAGAATATTAGTCATATAAAAGACCTTGCAATTTTTTTCCCTCTCAAATAAAGATACTTTTGCTCCCAAAACAGTTCTGAAAAACTCACGTCTTTTTATGTTCTCTCTAGAGATCAACAGTGGGCATGCCTCTACCAGTCATTCTTGAAGAACTGAAGCCTTAAAGGCAAGAATGAAATTAGAATAAATCATTCAGTATTGTATACTGGTCAGGGGGAGCCATGAACCCTCTAAGAGAATTGATCTGTAGCACGTTCTTTAAGGGTCTCCCCAGTGGGAATAGAAAACAGTCCTGCCGTCATACATTAGCCATATGAGAGTGCTTCTAGAGACATCTTACAAAGTCACAGATTTGTGTAAATTGCCCAGTGCAAATATGTGAGTAGGAAACTTCCTTTCTTCCACCACGCTGCACTTGAAAGCCAGATTTCAAATCCTTCAAAGCCCCACATAAAATTTCATAAAGCAAATGGAAACCAAGTACTAGCTAGTCTAAAGTTCTTTGCTTCTTGTCCAAGTTAACAGAAACACAATTTTAACAAAGTACAGACATTAGGTAATTTTTGTTGATTGCAAAGCTACAGAATTAACAAGTATTAACAAATATCTGAGACATTCTACACTATCTGCACACTCCAATCACATCTCATACAAAACCTGATGTCAACGGACAGTGCTAACACAGTATTTGCTGTTAAATTGAAAAGGCACGTCAATGTTGTCATGCTTAGAAAAACCACATTACACAGCACTAGATGATATAATAATAGACAGATCTAGATGTTTCTAGGATTTTTCTGAAAGGGAATGTGTCCTGACCTATTATTTTTACCTGTTTTCCTAATGTAATTCAAGATAATTTCATTCCTCCTCTCATCTTAAAATTTGTTTTCACATTGATGTGAACAACCTTCAGAAGTCTAAAAAATAATAATTGCAATTCAAAATGTAATAGGTTCCTAGAGAACACTTGGATGACCTCATAACAGGTCAAGAATGTAGTCTAATTTTTTTGACATAGCAGCTATTAGCCTTTTAAATTTCTAAAAGTTGATGGTATAAGGTGTTATCTACCCTCAATTTTCTTTCATCTAAGACAAGTATATATTTTAAAGGGAACACTAGTTCATAACATACTTTGGGTGCTTTTTCTCTGCTTTCAGAACATTTACTATTTTTTCCTATTGGCTTTAGTGTCTGCTGCCAACCACATGACCTGTAAACATATAATTTATAACCATCTGTTTCCAGGTAGATGATTCCGTAGAAAATTAATGCCAGCTACGATTTATGGGTAAGTCCAAAAAATGACGGCTCAAGTTCCTGTCCTCTGTCTTTGAGATAACTAGCCTTTAGCTCATAAATATATTGATAGTAATTACAAGTTAACCCCACTCAATGTCACTACATCATATGCTGTCTTATTTAATTCTATTTTTCAGACTTCCTTCTAGTTTCTCAGCGTTGGAAGTGTCTCGGAGATAATGTGTGCTTTAATTTTAAACACTCATTACCAGTATTCAGAAAAAAATATAAGATTTTTTTGCCCAAGTGTTCATGAATGTAAGTTTTTTAAAAATTATATTTGATTTGGATTCAAATATTTATAGATTTACACTATATCTATTTCGTCAAAATATATTGTATAATATTTAATAAAATCAAATACATAAAATAAAGTTTTCAACACTATTTATACAAACCCCTAGAAAAGCTGCTTTTTCTTTATAAGGCTGTTGGCAATCAATCACAACCACGGAGAAGACTGAATAACCTCTGGTTGTTTTGCTTTCACCAGGGGTGAATGGTATGACTAAGACAGTTCTGGAGGAGTCATTTCACCGGAAACACGGTTTTATACAATTAAATACTTTGATGACTTTTGAGGATCTCAGTCACTTTCAGATTCTTCATCATCACCGATTGGATATGACTGGATATTATTCTGGGTGTACATTTTGGTCTTAATGGGGCAGTTGTGATCCATGAGAATAGCCTGGAAGAGAGCAAAGTGCAGATACATTAACCCTGTTTCACAAAGATAAAATAACCTACTATTTTCAAGGATTACTAGAGTTGGAAAGCTATAGATAATGCCACCCACTGTCAACCAGTCCGGTGCAACTGCCAGGTGCCTGCGGTGCAACTGCCAGGTGTCTGTCCCAGAAGCCCTGGAGTTCCACATTCCACAGTCTGTGAGGATTCCAGATAACAGAAGGTAGTATAGAAGGGGGTCTCTGCCAGGGAGACCCCATCATGTAGTCCAGTTAGGGCAACTTGTAAGCTATGAGGCGAGGGCTATGCAGGCTACATTTAGGAAGAGTTCTATTTAGCATCTTGGAATTGGGATGGAGGAGGGGGTCCTGGAGGTCACCCAGTCCAACTGCTGCTCACGGTTTTCACAGTGGCAACACCCTTAATAAGATGAACTACACCCTTAACGAGATGAACTTCTGTTGGAAATGGACCTGAGGATAACTCCCTCCATTGTTTCTATATCTGGAGCCAGTTCCAATTCCAGGCATTTTCACAAAGACCATTGCCACGGCCCCTTAAGTTTTCCTACACTAAACGTCACGTCTTTTCATAAGTGGCATTTCCACAGCACCTCTCCCTAAATCCTAAATGTCTTCCCCTAGCTCAAATTTAGAATTTAAAACCACCCAACTCTTAGGAACGTAAAAATCTTGTGTCTTCTCGTTACTGAAAACTAAACAGTCCATTTTTCCTCAATTGATAAACATCCTCAAAAAATACTTGTAATCATTACTCCTCTTGAAAAATGTGCAGACCAAGCATGCTGTCTGCAAATACAGCAGCCTCTTATCATGCCAGGACCACGCAGAGGGTTCTTGCTGCAATACCCCAGCTTCATGAGAACTCTATGTGGGAGGCTGATAACTGTCTGTGTAGGCACAGAGGTTAAACAACATGGCCATGGGCATACAGCTAAAATGGGGCAGAGATGTGCCAGCCAGCCTTATGCCAAAGTCGGTTCCCACACTGCTCCGTGGTAGAGGCAGAGGGATACAAAACACCATACAACAGGACACTGGTACAACTAAAGGAGATTCTCCTATGAGGTGTGTCTTTTGGAGTTTCCGCTACATAAACTATTCCCCCGATACCTTTTAGTGCAGTGTGAAAATCTACATGGAAACCTTTATCTGTTAAAATTTATCTTATGTTAACCTCTTACAACCTATCTTGGTGTTTGTCAGTTACTCCCCGCCCAGGTCTTGTCCCACACATTTGATAACTTCTCTGACTCCATTCAGTGCTAACCCATTTATCGCTTACCGAGAAATTCTAAAATCTGTTTGGGTGATATGTTAAGATAACGACTTCCTTGACCCTCTAAGTCAGGCTGTCAGCTCAACTTGTCAGCTGCAAATTTAACTTTTTTTTTTAAATGCTTTGTGCCAAGTGAATTAATATATGTATTTAATAAAGAGCTCAATTTCTAAAACTCAATAACTGAGGCAACAGATGCTGTACACCAGGACCATTCTCCCCATATGGATGTGTCCTTGATACACAAAAGGTTTAACCCCCAAAGAGCTCAACGTCTTACCTCCCCAGGGTAGTGATCCTCAAAGAAACAGGAATCACTGGGGGGAGGGAAGTTAAACATGAAATCCCAGGCCCCTAACCTTTCATGCCAATGGTGTGTGTCTGTCTACATGCCATGAGAAGCACTGCCTCAGTGAGATGGTATACTCTAGAAGTATAGCAGAGCGGTATGGCTGCCAACAGCTTGCTGGGCACCTGCTCCCATGCCCCTAAGCTCCTATACGAGCATCAGTGACTTCATGGCGAGAGAAGGACAGGTGCCACAGCACTTACAGGTGGAATGCTCGCTGTGGGTGAAGTGCTCAAGGACAGCTGTACGGAGGAGATAGGATATAGGCTGAACTTTGAAGGATGGGAAGGATGTCCACAGCAAGAATCATCCACTCAGTGAACCACTATGTAGAACAGGGACACGGGCACTGCGGTGGTTCCATCAGTTAAGTGGCTGACTTGATTTCAGTTCAGGTCATGATCTCAGGGTTATGAGCTCGAGCCCCACATTGGGCTCCATGCTCACCAGGGAGTCTGCCTGGAATTCTCTCTCCCTCAGCCTCTGACCCCTCCTCTCACCCGCTAGCACACTTGCTCACTCTCAGTCTCTCTCTAAAAAACAAATATAAAATAAAAACCAGGGACACTAAGCCAGCCTGGCCGCCACAGATGTGGTGATGATGAGGCACACAGTGAGATATTATTAGAAAGTCCAACCAGAGCCAGACTGCAGGGCCAAGTAAGGGGCCTTGATCACTGGCCCATGCACAGCAATACAGCCTTGGGAGGGATAGCCATCAGTCTACCCTACTCATAACTGCTTTCTCTTGCCCTGAGACCTAACTCTGCATAACATGTAGACTTCTTAAGGACCCCAAAACTTAACACTGGGCAGGCACGTAGTATGGATTCAAAAAGCTGTGTTGTAAGGGAAGAAGTTCAATCAGACTGGTGATGGCATCAAACAGACTTCAGTGGTCAGAAGTTATCAATGCAGCCAAACCACATTTGTACACAAAGCCTATCTCAGATAAATAAGGTTTTTTTTTTTTTTGAAATACTGTTTTGTAGCTTTTAAAACCTAGTTTGCTGGCTCCTGAACCTCTTTTGAAAGATTGTGTGACAGTTCTGCTTTTTATAACAAGTTATAAGCCAGACAGCAGATGTAATATTCCCAAAGTGCCAGGAACAAAGAGGGGTGAAGGTCAAGTGGGTAAGTCAAGTGCACAAGGGCCAGGAAGAACCCGGTTCAGGGAGCCGCCAGGTAATTGAAGCCAGCCCTCTGCTGGGGAAACAAGGCACGTCTGACTCTACTGAAGACCAGAGAGAAAGTAGGAGAGTGTTTGAATTCAGAGCAGAGTCCAGTTACTGAGAGTTGAACCCCTGCCAAATGCTTGGCTTCCTATCAGACACCGAGCAGAGTGAGGATCTCCAAAGTGGTAAAACCGTTGTTGGACTAAATGAAGTATACAAATTAGGCAAACACACAGCTGGGATACAGTACAAGCACTGAGTAAGCCCTCCAGACTTCAAGATTTTGAGATGCCAGTTTGAATGCTTGAAAGTTTTATTTACCATATCTAAAAAAAAAAAAAATTAGTGATCTTTTTACATATCTACTATGTAAATGCCCTGCAAAGGGACACATTTCTATAAATAGATTATAACATGTAGGTCCTTGCCTGGCTCCCTGCATTCAGAAAAGATTCTCTGGAACAACTATTGAGAGAGCCCAGAGTCACCCAGGAAAAGCAAGCTGCAATCTCAAACACCGACTTTCCTGTCTGGGCCACAACTAGAAACTTCAGGAGTAAGATATAAAAAAATGTGCCCTATCTTCAAAAATAATTCTTCAAATCTGAAAAAAAATATCCCTATCAGCACACAGCTAATTCTCAACTGGATGTTCTGAGAGTCATGGGCTGCTTGTCATTGTGTGCAACTAAACCACAGCTGGCCTCAAATGGCAGAATGGGCATTTCTTAACTTGCAGAGGGACCTGAGTAACAAATAGGCTTTTTCCTCCACCCGTACTGATTATTTCATAATAAACAAACGGGCGCCTGGGAGGCTCAGTCGGTTAAGTGTCTGCCTTCAGTTCGTCATGATCTCGGGGTTCCTGGGACCGAGCCCCATATCGGGCTCCCTGCTGCGGGGAGTCTGCTTCTCCCTCTCCCTCTGCCCCTCCCCCTGCACATGTGTGCTCTCTCTCACTCTGATGAATGGATAAAATCTTGAAAAAAGTACCAAATAGAAGAAAAGCTCAAGTGCTGCCACACCAGTTCATGCTTCTAGAATTGCGGCCCCATGAAAACAGTATTCGATCTTTAATATAAAAGAGCTTAAGTCCAAACACGGCATTTTCAGAATGCTGCTTAATGAAAGAATTATTTTTTATGGTTTATAGGTCTTATTCCAGCTTTCCTGTCCCCCTGCATTTGGTAACTGCTCATCCTGAAGGCCAGCACCGGTCAGTATTGGATTTTCTCAAGTGGGCAGTAATCAATTCTCTCCTCCATGGCACACTGCTGTCCCCGCCTCACACCCCTTGATCATTAGGTTCCTTCCTGCTCTGCTTGCTCCACGAGAAGGCAGCAGCCGCTGGCCATCCTCAGACGTTACCATTACACTGGGCAAATGGAACCCAGTGAGATACCTGCAATCATGGGCAGCAATTATGGGCAGCGAGATGCACATTTTCTCAAGTTTTTAATGATTCCTCTTGCTAGGCATTTATTAAGGATTTTGACATTTTATAGTGAAAGTGGCTTTCTGGAAGCCTGCAATTGTTGCTTTGGCTTTACATTGTCTCTTCCACTTCCTTTGGCATTTTTAAGTGAACTAAAGCCCTGATTTACAAGAGGGAAGAGAAGACACACCAGGGCCTGCCTCCTGCCCCTGCCAGGGGGGACCCCCCCTGCTCATCCTCAGCCCTCACTCATTTCCTCCAACACCTCAGATAAGCCATCACGCTGCTGCTGACACACAGATAACACAACAGCTGCTAACGTCTGCTGCTTGGCTACGGAAGCCCGTTCGGCAGTTCTGGGGTCTCAGGAGCAAAAGGAAGCTCTCGCCTCACAGAGGGGCCTTGGGTGGATACAGGGGACCTCTGGGCTGACAGTAAATCAGAGTGTTAGGTAAAAGCTAGAAACAAGTGTGGGGTGGTAGTAGAAATAGTAACACATTTACTGAGCATTTACTGTGTGCTAAGCACGGGGCTAAGCACTCTGTGGGATTCTCCGCTGAGTCCACTGAGCAACCCAATGAGGCAGGTGCTCTCATTTCCCCAGCTGACAGTTTGGTGCCAAGGCCATGCTAGCCCTTCACTATCTCCCAAGAATCTTAAACAGTCTCCTGGGTGGCAGGAGCATCTGTAGATGATTTATCTTTTTTTGGTAGAGAGAGTTGGGAGTAACCTTCATTTGGCCTTAATCAAATTGATTTGATGGCAAGGAATGACAATTTTTAGTCATTGCACTGAGAATTTTCTGACTCTGATTTGCACAAGGTACCCTGTGGGGGTCAGGCTGAAAGACAAGTCAGATGAACAATAAAAGCACTATGGTTGCTCAGAACTAGAGGCATTTAAGCAAGAGGAAGGAAAAAAAGGGTGGTTTTCATTGGAACATTTCCACAACACCTTCCACTCCTTTCAGTTGAATGGATCATAAGTAATTCAAAATTACCTAGTTACACCCTATATAATAAAGGGCATAAGACCAGTGCTCCATGCTGAATATATTTTTAAAATATATTGAAGGAATTGATGAATACAAAGAATGCACCAAATAAATAAATGGCTGCACATAACCTAAACTTTACAGTCTGTGATTGTTTTTGAACCCACTTTTGGGGGAAAATCATAAAAGGGCAGTTCAAGAAATGCCAAAGCACCAAGACCCATTTCAGTTCAACCATCAGAACTTCTGATGTACCCCCAAGAGAACATTACAACATTACATAGCCACTCATAATCACAAAATACTGTCTCTCCTCGCCTGGTTATCTCATTCATTCTTTTTTTTTTTTTTAAATTTTTTTTTGATTTTTATTTATTTATGATAGTCACATAGAATGAGAGAGAGGCAGAGACACAGGCAGAGGGAGAAGCAGGCTCCATGCACCGGGAGCCCAACGTGGGATTCGATCCCGGGTCTCCAGGATCGCGCCCTGGGCCAAAGGCAGGCGCCAAACCGCTGCGCCACCCAGGGATCCCTATCTCATTCATTCTTAATCTAAATCACTCTTCTTCCAGCTAGATGAGTACCCATCACCATGTGAGGTTTTAAAAACTTCACTACAAGGTATCAATACTTAGAATCAGTAAGTAAATCTGTTCAGAAGAGGAACGCCTTCTACTCAATAGTGTATCTTTCATCTAGTTATGATTCTGGTTATGAAATTGTTAATTTAAAGGTTACCTATGCTCACGTGTGCCCAAAGATACATATACAATAGTTTTCCAAAATGCTCTGTTATCTACACCAAAACCATTTCCAGAAGCTTATGTAGCAAGGACTAAAACACCATTACTAAAAGCAGTAAGGCTTAGGAGAAAAACACATAGCATCAAAAATGGCTAATCTGGGTGCAGGTGGAAAAAAAAATCAAGATTTTTAAGAACTAAAGAAAATTACATTGAACTACCCCATGTCTGGCTGACAAAAGAGCTGTACAGACTGCCAACCTACAAACAAAAGTCATTTCATTCTTCATATTTATAAACATAATGCTTGATTAGTAAAGGAAGTATGGCCTAAGTGGTATAAACTCAAAAGGAACTGTTACCATTTATGTTTAGGGAGTTCTGCCCAAAAGGAGCAGAATATATTTTATAACTAAGTCATGGAGAAACTATCCAGAAGACCAAGAAACACTTGACTGCATCCTAAAATTTTCTTACCATCTTTTCTTCCTTGGCAGGTGGACTTCGAAGAAAAAAGCAGAGAGGAGCAAAAAGAATATCAATTATTCCAATAATGGTCATGAGCCATGGAAATCCAATTGCCTTTGCGATAGCCCCACCAGCAGAAGGACCTTTCAGGAAACAGAGAATTAGATCAAGCTCTCTCCAGATGTCTCATAGATAGAAAGATACAAAAAGTTAAATAATTTTCAATCAGCATTACCATCCATTAAGCTAAACAGTTGCTTTGAAAGCCCGCATCCTTACCTATGGCATATCCCATACAGAACGCCACATCTGCAATGGCATACACACTGCCGTAGACAGACACATGCCGCAGGTCGACCAGGTAGCCCATGATGGGCATCATTGACGAATCCACCATTCCTGTGGACAGTTAGGGAACATGGTCTGTGGAAAACGGATGTAACCCGAAAATGCGGGGAATACCAGGGACTGTGTCCTAACCTCACAAGCCCACCAGCTCTTCCCCAATTGTCATCACCACCTGTGAGTCTTGAGGCAGGCTGCCTAAGTCATACCCTTCACTAAAGACAGACTGCAGGTCACTGAGCTGGGACTGGAACCCAGGCCACCTTACCCCATCTGGCCTCCACTGTCTGAAGGGCTCATCTTCCTGGGGAGGGCACCCAGCCCTCTGGTGACTCACAGGCCAGGCTTCACATTGAGTGGAGCACTGGCTACTGGCTGTGTGGCACCCTCACTCACTTCGAGCTGCTGCTATCCAGAATAACTCTCTTCTAGTCGATAGGCCCCTTACCTTCACCCAGGGGGCACACCTATAAGACTCATACACCCCCTCCCCATCCACACGCCCTGGCCTCACATGTGGACCATAAGAAGCTGGAAAATATCAGGGAAGACAGGAAGGAATTAGAATATGTAGAGGCCTTGGGAGGGGGGTGACCCTAGCCTGCTCAGGAACAGATAAAGAGGTCTGCTAATCTGGGGCTCACACACACACACACATACACACACACACCACCAAGGCCACATTAGAATCTCCTGTTCCTTCAACAGTCAGGGACAGGCAGCACAAAGAAAGAGCATGTGTGTTCAGAGTTCTGGGCTCAAGTCCCTGGCAGGGTGAGCATGGCCATTCCTCGTCTCTCTGAACACTGGCTTACCCATCCATAAAATGGTGCAGATAATGATGGGCTAAGACAAGACTGTCTCTGTGGACAACACCTCCAGCAGAGTACTCAAATCTTAGTCCCCTCTTCTTCACCAACTAGATGGCAAGAAGAGGAGGGAAGTTTCTTTCATTCAATTCATATTTGGTGATCCCCTAATATGTGGAAGGTGCTGGGGACATGGGGTGAATAAAATGGACAGAAGACTTGGATGGGCCCCAAAGAGTTGAAAAATAAATTACAGCTGTCACTGACACCACTGGAGTAGGTAGGTGCTGTGGGGAGGATAAACCTAAGCCCACCTGGGGCTCCTTTCTCTCTTTCCACAGTACCCACTCAAAGATTCAATTCTTGCCTTTTGCCTGTGATAGATTTAGCATTGATTTCTAGTATGACCCATCTGTATATTACAAAAGAGAAACAAATGTAGACTCTTTACCCAAAATATTCACAAGTCTGTTCTTAATATGTTCTTGTTCCTCGCATTTCAAATACTCATCCCCTTTGCCAGTGATTCCGCAGCACACGTAATCATGAATACATCAGCCCACCTCTTCTACACCAAACCTTATAAAAAACTACATGTGCAATCTCTGTCCCCCAGATTCACTGGAGCAGGTCTGTGCACAGATCTGAGCCCAAACACACGTGCTCTGGTTGAGGGATTCTCTTGTTTGCCCAAGAGCAGCAACGGAGTATCCGTTTGCTTCTGTAAATATCAGGCTTTTAAAAATACTGGTTTTCAGGAAATAAATGACTAGTACAGAGAAGCAAGGATCTGTCTGTAGACAATCAACAGGCTGTACTTGAGCTTGGCTGCCCACAGCCTCTGCTCGAGCTTCCAGAAATTTTAGGTTGAGGAACGACAGTCTGCCCAAATAAGAGGAAATCCTTCCTAGTAATGGGGGAAACAAAGTTTTAAATTTAGGCCTAAGGTTACAAGACTTACCAATTGCAAAACCAACTCCAAAGTTGGGAGCTATGAGTCCATAGATGTTTTTGGCAAAAGGAATCTGTGAGAGGAAATAAACATTACACTAGAATCATGACATCCAATGGTAAATCTGGGAAAATATAAAAGACATAATTTCTCTAGCCTGGTGTGTGTATTCCCTTCTGAAGGAAATGGGGGGAAGGAGGTGGATGGAGTTTGGGGAGAATCAGGTTCTCCAAGTCTTTGAGTTGAAGCTGAAATGGGATTTTGTGACCACCAAGAAAAACTCGCTAACTGCTATAGTTGAGGTTGGCCTTGACCACACTCCATTTCTGACAAGGACCAGAAGGCCTCACTTAGGGTAGATACTGGTCATTGGTAGAAGGTGTTTTATTCTAGAAAAACATCTTGCTATTGTTTCCGGCTAGTTATCTGAAAGTGTTTTAAGACACTGTAATGTTTAAGATGATGGGGGTGGAGTAGGTAGTGACATGTACACTATCCAACAAAACATACTAAATAACCTCCAGCTGACATAAAATATAAATATCCCTTGGAGAATCTTGTCCAAAATGTGTCAGACGATAAAAAAAAAGTTGAGGAAAATGGAAGACATAATAAAAACAAATGTCAACAAATTTCAAACAGCTATTAAAGGTTTCCTGGGGATTCTTGCCCAAAGCAAAAGTTTTATTTACAGATCATTGCCGCTTGTCAAATACCATCTTTTACTCACACATAAAATGCTGATTCCAACAATTATCATTCCTAGAAGAGCACAAAGCCACCTATCAAAAAAACAAACAAAAAAAAAAAAACAAAAAACAGTGCCTTTAATAAATGACCACTCTAGGTTTTTTTCCCCAGGCCAAATTTTCAACAGAAATCAAAACAATTGCTTCTGATAACTAAGGTAGAAACATCTAGAATTTGCTTTAAAAAGCTACATTATTATTTTTTTTAAAGCTACATTATTATGACAGAGTGAGCGTTGTCCGCATTTCATCTTACCTCCCCATTTTGTGTGCGAGCATCCCAAAAATATTGGTTCCAATGAGATAAGAGATACTAGCTGGCAAGAAAGCAATGCCTGTAAATTTATGAAAAGGACACCTTATCAGTATTGATTATCAGTCAAGTGTTAGAAAAAGTAATAATTGTCAGACACCACGATGGTGATTAGAGCCGATGAGAGAAGCCCTGGGCCTGCACCCAAGCAGCTAATATCCGGCGGCTGACGGGTCCAGACTGGACCCCACCTGCTTTATCCGGCCTCACAAAGCTGCTGAGATGCTCCAGAAATGAAATTCATTCCTCTATCAGCAGCTCCATCTTGCCTGGTGGCAGCTTCACACACGGCCTGGTGTGGGCACACTGCGCCGTGGGAGCTGGTCCCTGAGAGCCCCCATGGGCCATGAGCACGGTGCCACCCACCCCCGGCCTCACCCCCGTGTTGCTTTACCACAGAGGTAAGACACGAGCATTGAAAAAAAAATGGGGAACATGAAGGACATAGAACAAAATTGAAATGATTCCAAACCCCATCACTCAGAAAATGACCATGGTGACCTCCTCCTGTAAGTTTATACACACAAGTTTACACACACACACAGATCAATGCACGTGCATGAGATTTTAAGAAAACAAAACAAAACATGGGTTTATACTATTGTTCTACATCCTGCTTCTTTCAACTAGCTTTATGAGCATCTTTCCATGCCTAAAAAAAATAATAAATGTCTATGTGGTCATTTTTGGGGTGGCCAAGTCACATGACTGGCATTGTCATGTCCAAGGTTCCATGCTCTCCCAGAGACCTGGCACCCCTGGGCCAAGCCTGGGCCAATTTCCAGCAGCTGGTGGAGTGGCTGCCTTGAAAGTCGTCTCTGCATTGAACAGAAAGCCCTCTTCGAGTCAGACCAGCCCAGCTGCCCCTGATAGGGGCCTGTCTCTATCAGCTCCCTGTGGTCCCCATCTGCTATCAGGACAGTAGGACAATCTCTTCGAAAGACGGCTTTTCAAACTTCATACTTTTAGTGTTCTTCTTGAGCTCTGCTGTACCAGATTTGATTCTAAGCCTTGCCCACAAATGGTGAACGCTGCTTTGTCTGCGATCATAGGACTGCGTAAGCTAGACATGCACGCTACCTACTAGAGGGTCAGGCTACTCAAAGTGCACAGGGCCTGAGGCCCTGCCTGTCCCTGCTGCCCACCAGCATGCAGCTAAGGGTGATGTTGCCCCTTCAAGGATCCAGCAGCCTCCCTGTACCTCCGTACGCACTAATGCAAGCCATCAAGCCCTCCAGAGAGGTGGAGCCTTCCAGCACAGGAAGGACTTCAAACTGATTAGGTCCAGGAGCTAAATGCAAAACCAAATCATTCTAGGCTTAGTGATCTGGGAAATAATAATAAAGAGCAATCTCATCTCATGTTCCAGGAAACCGTTTCCATCACACTTGGCAATCTGGGTGGCCAAATAATTGTTGGGTGTAATCAGATTCAGCAAACAGTACTGATAGCGCGGCCCCGGCTCACTGCTACGGCAGAAGACAATGACCACAACGTGGCTCTGGTCACCATGAGAGCGTCTTCAAAGGAAGGAATCAGATGACGTCTGCACTGGGACGTGGCTACATTAGGGACGTTAACAAATGTACGAAGGCAGTGCTCTGGGAACCCAGGAGCTCCCCAAAGCAGCTGGTAATTAAGCCTCATCTCAGATGCAACATAGTAGAGTCTGGAGACCTAAGAAATCATGAAGGCCTTTGTCCCAGGATGAGTATCTCTGGGGTTTAGGGAGGGGGTACATGAAAGGAGGAGGCAAAGTATAAGATCAAAACCAGCACAGGTACTGTGATAAAGAGCCACCAACACTGGGCCTCAGTGTCGGAGAAACAAAACAAAAATGGAGGGGGAGGGCCTAGACCCCATCTAGGAAGGCACCTGCTATTCCTCCCGGACAATTACTGCTCTTGAGGATGGAAGTCCCAGATTGGAAGATCCAGTTTTCCCAGAAAAGCTTGACCTCCAGGTTCCTACATGAAACCTCTTGGGATTTGTAAATGCTGACAACTAATTTTTAAAAACATAAAGCTCTCGCAGGCTGACACCCAAAACCTACGTATGGGCTGAGCCCGGTCCACAGGCACCGCTGTCAACTGGGGCCAAAGAAAGTGATTGCCAAGAACCTGGCCAGGAGCCCTGCTTCCTGGTGAATCTCAGCACAGGATGAAGGCAGAGCGTCGGCGCGGGGTTGTCAGCGTGCTCCAGGGGAAGCCGCAGACCAGCTACAGCTTCCTGACCTACAGGTGGGGCGCGGAGCTCACACGTGGGACCTGCTGCCGGGGGGTGCACCTTGTGTTCCACAGACAGCAAACGCTCTCTCAGCAAATCCAGTTTCACAATCCTCCAGCACAGGGTGCAAGGCATGACAGTGGGTCACTGTAACCTCTTAGAGCCCAGGATGCCGCGCACATCGCGTAGGAAGGCTCGGAGGTTCAAGTGACAAACAGCCCTCCCGGGCTGACTCCCCTGCCTGGGCCCTCTGCGTGAGCTCCAGCTTACTCGCATCTCGCCCTGGCCCTTCCCCAGGCTGCACTGGGTCCCCAGGGGCAGGGACCACTTCACCTGTTCCCACGGCCCAGCTCCAGGGTGGCACATGGGAGGTGCTCAGGACACGGCTGAGCACTTAGAGAAAACATCCTGGGTGAGGACATGCACATCACAGAACCAAACATGTTGAAGGAGGCCGCTGTCGCTTGAGGTCAGGCCCACGTGGTCTTTGGACCTCAGGCTCCAAGCTCCCGACTGCTGTTGTGACACAGTGTCAGCATCCTCTGCATTGCCAGGGCCCCCGCTGCAGTACACCCCCCCCCCCAGAACCTGTTCTAGGCACTCAGAGAAACTTCAATGTGCCTCTTGCAGCAGCCTGCCTGGTGTCCCAAGAGGAGCCCAGCTAGCTTTGCTCAGAGACCCACTGCTCTTCCAGGCAGCCCTTTAAAGGACAGCTGCTACTAGGGGCAGCTGTCTAAACACCAAGCCCTAAGGCTTCCCCCCACTTCCCCCCACTGGTCCTGCTGTGCATTCCAGAGCCAAGAGAGGCCGCCTTCCCCCTCCTTCCCCAGTCCAGCCACCAGCTCAAGAGAATGCATCCCAGCCACAGTTTGGCTTCCTGGTGAACCACCAGCAGGGCTTTGGGGCGCCCCTAGTGACTGGATATCTACTGCCACTCTTCTGTACAAGCTCCAAATTACCTCACCTTGAAACACGGCGCCCAGAACCCACCCAGCTCAGCTCCATGCTGGGTGCCCAACACATGACCCCTGGCACCTCAGGGAAGAAGGACCAAGTGAATCACAGGGCCGGCCCATCTGGCCCCTGGATCACTCCTGGCTCTGGATGTAGTCGCATCCATTCTGCACCCCTGGGGCCCCGGCTCACACAACTTCATGTGGCTCATGTCACCGCGACCTGCGCTCCCTCCAGGTCCCCGCCTGCCGTCATGGGGCGTCTGCAACCCTAGGGCAGGACCCTAAGTTCTCACCACAGGGATCCCTCCATGTCTCTTTCAGACCTTCATTGGAGCCTAGGGAGATCTTTGGGAATCTGTTACCAACTGGCCAACTTTGTCCCTCCAAAACCTGTATCACCTGCAAGTGCAACAGGAAGTCTTGTCCACCTTGGCCCGACACAACGGGAACAGTATGGACAGGATGGCCTGCACACAGTGCCTGCGGCCACACGTGTGAGCCTCTCCCTCTGCTGGGCTGGTGTCTCCTTCCAGGGGCGCCTGCACCCCTTCACACACCTCTGCACATATGAGAAAGTTCACCCACAGGGATCGTCTGCCCATCCCTGGGCTTTCATGGTAAGCCTGGCCTCAGCCACTGGCTTGACGGGCACAAGAGGGCTCGAACCCCAATGAAGCCCACAAGGAGCCGACATTGGACACGTAGCCCCAGAAGTGATGGGATGTATCCATGGTCTTCTTCTGAGCTCTGGATGACTCATTCCTTAGGTCCCCAAGGACTCGGTCAGGAACCAGAACGGGGCATGGTCCCAGTTTGCCCTATCCTAAGGGAGACACAGGAGGCTGAAGTCCTCACATCCCAGAGCCACAGCATTCAGCAATCATCTTGCTCTTGGGGACCCAGCCAGGCTGGCACAGCATGTGCCCCAAGGTCATGGCTGGCTGGGAACTGAGTGGTTCCCCTACCGAGCAGGCAAGTATCCTATCCCCTCCAGCTGTACCAGCACATCTCCTTAAGGAGCCAGAAGAAAGAGTTCAGCTCCACTCTTCTCTGGGACCCATTCCCCAGACCTTAAGTTCCGTTTTGGGGTTTGGAGGCCTTACCATGAACTGAGTTCCTAAGCCTCCTGGTGTAAAGGAAAGGTCATCTGACCCCAGACTGGAGTTGAAAGAAAGATGCCATGAAATGATTCTCTCCCCGCCAACCCCAAAGTCAGAGCCACCCCCAAGGGTGTCTGGGGGACAGACTCACAAGGAAGCCCTCTGGAGTGTCGATGGGCTACCACCTACCTCCTCGAAAAACTATGGCCCAAAATGCAGCGTTCAACAAAAGCAATCATGTGTCACCCATGCAGCTGATAAGACTGTTTTGCTTTGACTTCAAATCTTAGTTTTTTTTTTCCCCAGAAAGGATGAGGGGCGTGTTCCCTTCACACTAGGGACAACATGGCAAAAGAGGCAGAGATACGGGAATCTCTTGTGTCTCTGTGGCAGGAAGGGAGTGATCTCACGGTGAGAGGCGTGGCCAGCAGGGGGGGGGGGACATCTGGCCTCAGAGATAAGCCCAAGGAGAGGATCTCCTGATAACATCGAGGTGGCCTGGGTCCCGGAAGGCCCAGGGACTGATGGACTTTGAGGACTTTAGAAAGCAAGCCTCGGGCTGCGTCTGGAGACGGAGAGGGCATTGGGGCGGAGGTGCCTGGCTCATGGCCCAGATGCACCAAGCAGGAGAGGAAGTCAGGTGGGGGCATCGGAAACACTGCAAGAGTGGCTTGGCCCAAGAGCAAGAGCGCTTGCAAAGCGAATGCAGGAGCTCCGGGGACGCGGCAGGTGCGGGGTCAAGGGCCCCAGACCACCAGGGGGAGAAGCAGCGTGGCAGGGTTACGGCCCGCAGCAGCAACAGGATGTGAAGAGCGGCATCTCATCTCTTGCAAAACTGCTTTTCATTAACTCCAGTTAGAAAAAGATCTTCCGGGAAGGCCCAGGGGATCAGTGGTGGATTGTTTGTCTTCAGCTCAGGGTGTGATTGTGGGGTCCTGGGATCGAGTCCCACATGGGCTCTCTGCAGGGAGCCTGCTTCTCCCTCTGCCTGTGTCTCTGTGTCTCTCTGTGTCTCTCATGAATAAACAAATCAAATATTTAAAAGAAAGAGAGAGGAAGAAAGAAAGAAAAGAAAAAAAAGAAAGAAAGAAAGAAAGAGAAAGAAAAGAAAGAAGAAAAGAAAGAAAGAAAGAAAAGAAAGAAAGAAAGAAAGAAAGAAAGAAAGAAAGAAAGAAAGAAAGAAGAAAGAGTAAAAAAAAAAAAAAAGAGTCTTTCCCTTCCGCAAAGTGATGTGCTTTCTCTGGCAGCTTCCAGTCTTTGGGGTTTCTTTTTGTCTCCCCTGACAGGAGGTTCTGAGTTTTGATTTCTAAGAACTAGCCCTAGTTTTGTTCCAAGAATTCTTTCTCCTTCACGGAGAGACTCTTGTTGTTGGGGCTTGTTTTGGATTCTGCTTTGTGACATGACTTCTATACCCTAAAACTCACCCTACTCAAGCATGCAGTTCAGTGGTTTTTAGCAGAGTCACAGGGTGTTGCAACCATCACCACTGTTTGATTCCAAAATACTTTATCACCCCAAAGAGAAACCCACCCATTGGCAGTCCCAGTCTCATCCTGCTCAACCCCAAGCAATCTGGGACTTTTTAATGAAGGATTATTTGGTGAAAGAAAACAGTGATTCAGTGCAGCGCCCCATAAGGACTGGGGTAGGGACAAGTCTGAAGGAGGAAGCAGGATCTGGTAAGACACCACTGCAGAGGGGATAGAAAGTTGTTTGTGAGGGAAGGCAGGGGACACCAAAAAATCGCGGCTTCACTTGCCAACCAAAGATGGCAATTTATAAGCCAAGAGAGCTATGAAAAGAAAATAAGTCCCCAGGAAGGATCATCAATAAATTCTTAAAGAAAAAGGTATGTGGAAAAAAAAAAAAGGAAAAAGAAAAAGGTATGTGTGCAGGGACAAGCTGTCAGACATTAAACAATGTTCTAAAATTCCAGAAATCAAATAGGAGGGTACTGACAGAGGAATTCATCTCCACACATGGAACAGAAAAGAGAACCCAAGAACAGACCCAAGAACACACAGTCAAGTATGATAAAGGTGGGAAAAATCATGTGGGCTCCTAGGACAACTGGCTGGCCATACAGAAAAATGTTAACACCAAATCCTTAACACAACCCGGTACCTAAGTTAAGTCTATGTAAATCCAAGATGTTTATGTATAAAACAGATCATAAATTAGGGGAAAACATGGCTGAAAAAAATAATCTCTACATGGGAAAGATCTCACCAGAGCTTCACTCCGATGACAAGGACATGAAGGGGCAAATTGCTAACCCTGACTAGTGGCATCTTAAATGTTCTGAGTGTATGGGGGTGGGGGGGGACCCATTTGTAAACTCAAAAGACATACAACAAAATGACGGCCATATTTGTAAAACATCTGATAAAGAATATCAATATATATAGAATATTTAAAATCAGTAAGGACACATAACTCCGCAGAAAAAAAAGTGGGCAAAAAATATTAAGAAATCCACAATACAGGAAATAGAAATGGCTAAAACATGAAAAGATGCTCAATTGTACTCAAAGAATTTGTAAAAATAAATCAAAATGAGACACACACACACACCCCACCTCATATGCAACTGGGAAAAACGGACAGTACTGGTGTTAGTGCAATATTACCAGTTACCAAACACCCATTGAACTTTCAGGATTTGCACACAGATACACTTCTAAACACGAACAGGAATATGTGTAAGAATATCTTGCTACAGTATGGTTTCTAAATGGCAAAAACTGGAACTAACCCAAATGTCCAACAATAGGACTTGGCAGAAAATTTATGGTATAACCTTAAAATAGAACAATATCCGAGTATTAAAATGAATGATGGGCTTCCAGCTAAACAGGGCAGATGGAATCTAGAGGTTTTTCTCCATTCCCATTGCAAATTCTGTTTAAAATTTAGTAAAGGAACAAAAACAAAAAACTCTATACCTTCCCCTCGAAGTCCAAAAACAGACAAAATATAAAAAGAGAAAAGGCAATGAGAAGGAAAAGTAAGCAGAGGGAGAACAGTGAGGGACACAACAGAGAACACTGGAACCTTCCACCTGCTCATGGAGCAGCTAACAGGAAGCAACAGCTTTTGTACCTCCAAACCTAGAACATTCAGGAACTGAAGGCTCCGGGTACTGTGAATGTAAGGCTGAGGCTATCAACTGGAAAGAGAGCTGAAAGGCTGTTTTATTTTTTTATTTTTATTTTTATTTTTTTTTGTGAAAGGCTGTTTTAAAAGTGCATAGACTCTCTAGCTCTCAATCACTCACCCTGGCAGGAGGCAGCTTCTTTAAAGAAACTAACTGAATTGGCCCAGGGACCCCAGGCAGCACAGAGACCAGAGATAACACAAGAGGCTGAGTTGGGAAGTGAGTGGAAGTCTTCCTACTAAATGGGAAGAGGTTGTTTCAACAACCCTTCCACACATACAAAACCACTCAGTAAATATGAAAGGGCTCTTCAAATTTATGAGGACACCAATTATAAAAATCCAATAGGCAGTTTAGAAAATGAAGAAATCAGTGGAAATAAGAAAAGGCAAGATAAGAAATCAAAAGGATAAAACACAGAGGGTCCAACATTGAACCAAGAGTAATAATAAAAGAAAATGGAGTACAGGAGAGGATTCATTAAAGAAATAATACAAAATGGTTTCCCAGGACTAAAAGGAACAGGTTCCCACATGAGCAGGCTAACCAAACATGTGCCCAGTACAGTAGAAGAAAACAGACCTCACTGCAAAAACCATCATGGATGCTCATAACCTAGAGAGGAAGAGATCCTTCCAGCTCTTACAGAGGATGGGGAATGAGAAGGACACTAGCCTCCTCAACGGCAACCCTGAACACTAGAGCACAATAGGACAGAGGCCTTAAAACAGAAGAAAAATAATTTCCAATCCAAGACTCATATACTCAAATAGACTAAATCAACCAAAAATAGAGAATAGATATGTTTGTAGATATGCAGGATCTCTGAAAACTTTACCTGCCACGCACCATCTCTCAGAAAGCAGCTAGAGGATGTGTTCCATCATAATGACAGAGTAAACCAAGAGAAAGGAACATAGAGGAGAAGGATACAGGAAACGGAAAAGAGGCAAAGATGTCCAGACAATGGAAGAAGAAAGTCCTAGGATGACCTAGTGAATAAGCCTAAACTGGAGCAAGACAAAGTAATGTGGGACAAATGTCCACAAACAAGCAAAAAGACAAATAGGTTAGGCTTGCCGGTGTACTTGGCCACATTTAGAGGGCCTTTCACCTCTGCCAGAGAATTTGAGAATATGTTCATAAATGCTACCTTGAAAACTAAGAAAATGGAAAAAAACATGGCAATGACTAACTTTAGGAAAAATAGAAGTCCGTAAAAAGAAGTAATCACAAAACTCTATATATAGCTCTTCTTTGAACAATATTTGCATAGTCACAATGTCAATCTGAATACCAGTGTAACCAGCAAACATAACTGTTTTAGGAAAACAGAAGTTGAGAAAACAGGTGTGTTGGTGGATATTTTCAGGTGGAATAATAATGGAATTAATCTCCATCTACCATATTAGGGAGCTGATAGAAAATGTCAGACATTGGAGAACTTTAAAAAAAACAGAAGTTACACATATTTAGAGACATAAATTAGCAGAAGAAACAACTAAAGGCATTAAAGAGGATCAAATCTGAGGAAGGGGGTTGGCGATGGGGAGGCATGGGATAAGGACTGTTGTCTTTCTCATTATAATTCTAGTAATAGTATTTAACTTAAACATTAAGTACATGTGTAATTGATTAAAATTCTAATTTAATTAATTTTGAAAATTAAATCTATCCATTCTGACATGGACACATGAACAAACAAAAGGTCACAGTGATACAACTGGCAAGATTCCACTTGGCTTCAACTTTTAAGCATGGCAATAAATGCAGAACCATCTAGAAAAAGACAGAACTATTAACAATGACTCTCATAGAGGACTGGGCTGGGGGGAAAAAGGTGAACACGAGATTTTAAGATTTACTTTCTTGATTTGTGTACCTTTGACTTTTTAAAAAATATTTTATTTATTTGACACAGAGAGAGAGAGAGAGAGAGAGAAGGAGGGAGGGAGAGGGAGGGAGAGTGAGCCCAAGCAGGGAGAGCAGCAGAGGGAGAGGGAGAAGCAAGCTCTTCACTGAGCAGGTTGTTGACCTGGAGCTCGATCTCAGGACCCCAGGATCATGACCTGAGCCAGAGGCAGATGCTTAACCAACTGAGCCTCCCAGGCACCCCAACTGTTTTTTTAATAATAAAGCATGTATTACTTGTAAATTAAAAATGTTAAAATTCACCCTCTTAAATCCTGTTTGTTGTTAGCCTCTTTCACATAAATTTTATTGCTGTCCACATACATTTAACATAACTAGTCTAATTCAGAAACATGGGAAGACACTGAATATATTTTTGCTCTCTCATTTCTGCCCAGGTGTGATGCCTCTATGTTAATTCTGTATCCCATCAGGGATAATTTAAAAAAAAAAACCTGGGGCTGAAACAGACCCCAAAGCTCATTGCTACCCTAAGCGCTGACCCCACTAAGTGTCAAACAGAAACAATCATTTTATTATCCTGGTACCTGCAGATTGGCCGGGCAACAATGACAGGATTCACCCCAAGGACAAAAGTTCTGGAATCAGAAGCTGCCCTAGTCCTTACCCAGCTGCCACTTTCGGGAACACATGGTCTCCATCATCCAGATGGGCAGGGCTGGCTCCAGCATGGCAATCCCCATGTTTGCAAAGCAGATGGACCCTTCAAGGGAGGAGGACGGTTAGTGTGCTTCTGTTTTGCTTCTTGAGCATCCCCTCCTGATTCCAAACACAGTTAAACCCGCATGCCCACAGCCAGAACAATCCACTTGGATGCTCAGAACTTCTCCTTTTGTGAGGAAAAGCTAAATAACAGGTCAAGGGGATAGTGAGGAGGCTGGGTTTATTATTAATATCATCATCATTGTTATTTTTATCAAAGAACAATTAAATATTATGTTAAATCCGTTAAAATGAAATACTAATAATTAAGATTAAATATTAAATTCAAACAAAGCATTAAGAAAAACTTTTTTCAAACTAGAATCCCAGAGTCATAAAGGAACTGGAGGGAGCTGTAGACGTTATTGGATGACCCATCCCAACCTATTAGTGAAGGAGTTCCAATTTATTAACAAAGTAACTTGCCTGAGGCCACCCACCAGTGTGGGCCACTTCCAGGCCACACACAGACCCCAGCAACTGGAGGCTCCTGCGTCCAAGTTTTACTGTGCAAGGAACACAGACATTTCTAAAGATGCCCTGGGATGCCCCAAAACTCAGTGCATTCGGTTCAGGTGTGCTGTTGAGGGATATTTTTTTAATCCACTATACACATAGAGTATTTCTGCAAATATCCATTACCACCCTGTTAACCAGAACCCTTTGCACATGTAGAGCCATCGGGAAAGAAGATGCACAGAGCTGTTCCCCACCGTGCTGGGAGCTTCCTGTGCTGTGAGCTTTCTGTGCTGTGTCCCCGAGAACCTCTAATTTGCCTGAATCCTGATTCAGAGGACACTGTGCAATGGTAAGGTGGTCACATGACGAAGAAAGGTCTTCTCCATGCTTTGTGACATTACAGGTGGAACAGAGAAAGGATGCTGACGTGACTGGCTCCCCTTACCTGCCTGCTGTTTTCCCAGATTCGGTGTTTGTCTATTTGCCGTCTACTAACTAGGGCCACACTGACACAGTTGTTCTATCTACGCTGTGACCCGGGGCCCACACTCTGAACCCCTCCTGGTCCAACTCTTTCGCACAGCAAACCGACACCCCTGCCCTGAATCCACCCCGGGACCAGGCACCAGGCATGCAGGGACAGCCCCCAGGCCCCAAAGCCTGCCCATCCTAAGCTGCTCCCCCAGCCCTGCCTTGCCTTCCCCATGCAAACCTCTGACCTAGGAAACTTGCTGCTTCCTCAGGAGGCCCTGAGTGGCGTAGCATGCCTCCTTTTCACAGGAAATGTAAGCAATAAAATCTCCTTTCAATAGCACTGACCTCTCCGCGTCATCACTCAGTCACCTCCACAAGTTAAAATCCCACCACGACAAATAAGACACGTCGCCTGGCCCCCAACTCCCTCAGCCAAGGCTGCCTGGAAGTGTGACAGCCTGATAGTCAGTGCTGGGTGGATCTTTCCTCCCTGAGTCAGGGTGAGACGATGAGGGTCAAAGAAAGCCCGAGGCAGGGGGTGCTGGGCTTCAGGGAGTCCCACTCTCACCATACACCTTCTCACTCCCCCTCAGACAACCCGGGCTCCATGGGCACCTGGGTGTTGGAATTGTCCCTGCGTCTTGCTGGGGGCACAGAGAGGTCCCCCTGCATCAGGAGGTCACCACACCAGGTTTGCAACGCTTTGGCTGCCAGGCATGATGGAGAGGGTCTAGACCAGGGTTACACAGGTGCCCCCCTAACCAAATCCAGCAGCAGGCGGCCAGCCTGGGGCATAAAAAGGCTACACTGGAATGCTCTGAGGTAGGGGCATGGATCCAGTTCAGCCAGACTCTCCCAGCCCTACCAGCATTCATGACCACTGCTTAGACAAATCTACCCCTAACTGCATCTGATGCCACACTTCAGGGCTGCCCTCTCCTGACCGGACCCCAGGCCCGGTGCTGACCAGTGTCCAGACCCAGGCAGCATAACCGGTCTCCTGTTCGGCAGCCCCAGGCCTACATCACCAAGCTGGTCTTGGAGAGACAGTCTCTTGGATGACAGCCCATTACCCTCCCACAAGCCATAGAACCAGGGCTTCCTCTGAGTCCATCTAGACCAAGAACCCAAAGATGGGACCTTCTGTAGACAAGGGCGGTATCCCAGCAGCCTCTGGGGTACTGCACAGAGTGACCTCTCCACGGGAGGGAGCTGTCCTCTGGGGCTGCGCTGTCAGCCTTAATTCATGCATGCCCAGGTGACTCAGACCACCCACCTACGATGCCTGCAGTGAGGCCACGGACTCCTTCCAGAAGTTCACGGCCACACAGCGATGGCCACCGACACAAATAAACCTCTGTGTCAGGGCATCTCCGTGACCCGGACATCTCTGCCCCAAATGAAAACCGACAAAGGAACTTGGCTGAGTGTCAGAAATTAATGATGGCAGAAAGCCATTCCCTGTGGGGCATACGTAACCCCTCTGCTATTCGTGTTTCTCTACCGCCCAACGTTTCCAGCAGCCCAGCGAGCACTGGTTCTCGCCACCCACCCCCCACTCTTTGGCTGAGAAGGAGCAGGGAGACTGAGGAGGGCCCCACCTGCAGCGATGAGGATGTACGGGTCCTTCAGCAGCGTGGTTAGCGGTGTCCCCTTCTGGCTCTGTCAGCAAAAATCAGGGGTTAAAAAGGTTGACACGGCCACCGTGGCCCCCTCCTTCCCCAGGGGCTTACCTCTGGCTGGACCCGGGACGGCTGGAGCACACAGAGCTGAATAGCTACAAGAAAAAGGAAGGGAAAAAAGGTGCCCCAAGCACCTGCTGCAAACACCTGCTGACACGGATCACCTGCTGACACAGGTCACAGCCACCAAGAGCATGGCCAAGGTCCCCACATGGACTCACCTCCATCCAAGAGCACCAGGGCAGCCAGCACCAGGAACGGAGCTGTCTTCCCCACAAACTCATAGAGCACGCTCCCAAAGGGGGGGCCCACTGCAAGGAAGAGAAAGAGGAGCTGGTGCCAGGGCCTGGGACTGGTGCCCCCACCCCCAACTCCACTAGGACCATCCATTTGTTCCTCGAGTTTGTGCTTTGTTCCCAAAACTATTTGGGGGTGGCCACCCTACATTCTACTCAGCCCAAGGTGCCCCGGCAACTCCCTCCAAGCAGTTTTCTACACAAGGCATGGGCAAGAGCATATGAGGTCACCCCAAAAGTAAAGACCAGAGAGCAACCAGACCCAGGCCACACAACCGAGCTACTCAGGGAGCACAGGAAAATGGGTCAGCGCGGATCTTGTTCCTTCTAAACCAGCTCGGAGAGAACTCTGGGCTCCCCAGTGAAGGCTGGGGATGCAACAGGGAAAGGAGAGGACCCACACGTCCTCTCAAGGAAGGGATCTGTCCCCGGGGCAGGGGAGGTCAGCCAGGGGGAGGGGAGAAGGTCCACGGCTGGGATGGTAACCCGGAGAATGTCCAAGAGAAGGAGTTCAGGCCTTCCTTTTACATCTGGACCCGGGAAGGTCTGGGTTGGTTTGTTTTGCCCAAGATCACCCGGCAGGCTGGGAGGAGGCGGCAGGGGAGCCCACATCCTCCCAGGTCAGGAAGGTCCCACCAGTTTTCCAAGGGAGCAGTTATCAGCAGGACATCTCCTGTCCTCCCTCCGGTGCTGGGAGGTGGGCGGCGGGGAATAAAAAGGGAACAGACTCAGGGTGGGCAGAGGGCAGGCTGTGGCCTCCAACGGCAGACAGGCCCTCCCCGCAGCCTGCTCCCAGAGGCCCTCACCCACCTAGCACCCCCATGGCCAGGCCTCCCAGGGCGATGCCCATGGCGTTGCCTCTCTCTTCGTCATCCGTGTACACGCTGGCCAGCATGCCCATCCCTAAACAGAGAAGAAATGGTCAACAGCCCAGCTGTCAAGGGAGCACCAAGAGAATCATCAGTGACTCGCCTGCCCAACTCTGGCCTGGACCTGTGAGCTCCCAAACCTGTCAGATTCGCAGAAATATAAGCCAAGCCGAATGCAAGGGAGCAGTACCCTCCCGACAGACCACCACTGACCCTGGGAGTCCCTGCACTGTTCCAACTGACTCTGCAAGGGGCCGGCCAGCCAAGGCGAGCCTGGGGACCCCTCCAACAGACCGAAGCTGTTCCCCTGGCCCCCCCACCAGCCCCGGGCGCTGACTGATTGGGGTTTCAGGGCACCTACCAGCCACAGACGAGCAGGAGGAGCCGATGCCCTGCAGCGACCTGGCGATGAGCAGGAAGGCGTAGCTGCTGGAGAAGGCGAACACTGCGGAGGGGGCGGCCGCGCCGCGCATCAGTGCCAGCCTGACGCGGGGCCACCATCTCACAGGGGCGCTTTGAGGCCATCCCTCGCCCCGACGGCGCATTTCCCTACTAACCGCGCTGTGCTCCTGTGCCATGAACAGCTCCACCGACCCCCCTTCTGCAACCGCTGCCAACACCCGGCCCGCCCCCCACCCCGGGGGACCCAGGCTCAGTGCCCAGCGTGTGGTCCTCAGAGCCCACTCGGGGACCCACACGCAGCCGGAAACAGCAGACACTTACTGATCGTGGACACAAACATGATGCAGAATCCCGCGAACATTGGAATTGGGTAGCCAATTCTGCAAAAGAGAGCCACGGGGAACGTCTGGTGACTGCTCCGTATTTCCCTAAGGCTTTGTATGGAGCCTTACCTTTGGGATCAGATGGATGAGGGTTTGGTCGACTTTTCTAAAAATTCATATAGTTGGTGCTTCCTATGTGACCTTTTCGTGTTTGACTGCCTTGGAACGTGAATACATTTAAGGATTGCCACTCTGGACAGAAATTTCTCCGGAATAAATGTTAACACAATATTGGCAAGTAACCCAGGGCATGTCTAAAATACACAACACCCCGGTTTCCATCTTTTTATTATTATTCTTTAATTACTGTCTTTGCTAGAGCTTCTCCAAAGGGACAATGGCAAGCCAATGAGTCCAGTGAAAGGTCATCAGGTGATTCATCAGTGCGGCAGCAGAGACAACGGCACTACATCTGAGAGGCATCAGGATACAAGGGGATATTCAAGTCTCCCTACGCGTTGACCTCGATGAGGCCAGCCTAGAGAACTAGGCCTTGATTTTGGTGCAAAACTTCAACATCCTATTTGCTCTGAAAGACCACAGTCCCTACAGGGCTCTGCCCCCCCGGGTGGACAGGGGCAGTGGGAAGACCCCGGCCTCCTGGTATCGCACCCGGCCCTACCGTGTGAGCCAAGTAAGCCACTGGCCACCTCCCAGCACTGGAGGGAAGACAGGAGATGTGGGTGATAAACTGCTACCAGGCACCCGGGACATAGAAGGTGCTTCAGAAAGGGTCTCCTCCCTCATCCTCTTTTCTTTCCTCTCTGTGCCTGCAGAGTATGCAGACTGCTTGGCTCCTGCTCTATGGATGGACGGGACAGGAGAGTGAAAGCAGCTTCCTGGCCCCTGCTGCCCTGGGTGGGAGGCCAATGCTGGCTGAGTGACTGACCATCCTCTAGCAGAACAGCCCAGAACAGCTCCAGGCTTTGTTTCCCTCCAGCCCTAGACCCTCGGGCTCCTGGATAGGAACCAAGTGAGGACCAAGGAGTCCTGAGTCCCAGTCACTCAGCCTGGAAGTGAGTGACTGGGACTTCTAGTCTAGGCTTGACTAAAAAATCACGATAACGGGACACCTGGGTGGCTCAGCGGTTAAGCCTCTGTCTTCAGCCCAGGGCGTGATCCCGGGGTCCTGGGATCGAGTCCTACATCGGGCTCCCTGCATGGAGCCTGCTTCTCCCTCTGCCTGCGTCTCTGCCTCTTTCTCTGGTGTCTCTCTTGAATAAATAAATAAAATCTTTTTAAAAAAAAATCACGATAACGATACCTTCACTTAAAGTTACACGCAGGGGCACCTGGGTGGCTCGGTGGGTTAAGCGGCTGTGTCAGCTCAGGTCATGACCCAGGGTCCTGGGATCGAGCCCTGCATTGGGCTCCCTGCTCAGTGAGGAGTCCGCTTCTCCTTTTTCCTCCCCACTCATGTTCTCTGTTGCTATCTCTGTCTCTCTAATAAATAAAATCTTTTTATTTATTTTTTTAAAGATTTATTTATTTATTCATGATAGATGTAGAGAGAGAAAGAGAGGCACAGGCACAGGAGAAGAGAGAAGCAGGCTCCATGCTGGGAGCCCGAAGTGGGACTCGATCCCGGGACTTGATCCGGGACTCCAGGATCATGCCCTGGGCCAAAGGCAGGTGCCAAACCACTGAGCCACCCAGGGATCCCCAATAAAATCTTTTTAAAAAAATAAATAAGGGCAACCCCGGGTGGCTCAGTGATTTAGCGCCACCTTCGGCCCAGGTTATGATCCTGGAGACCTGGGATCAAGTCCCACGTCAGGCTCCCTGCATGGAGCCTGCTTCTCCCTCTGCCTGTGTCTCTGCCTCTCTCTCTCTCTCTCTCTCTCTCTCTCTCTCTCTCTCTCTGTCTCTCATGAATAAATAAATAAAATCTTAAAAAAATTAATTAATTAAATAAAATTTAAAAATGAATAAAGTTCTAATCAATTCTCTAAGCACTTACAGCCATCAGCTCAAAGATTTGACAAAGGCAGATGACCACCTCCCCATCTCACATGAGAAAACAGAGGCCACCAAAGTGACCTGTCAAATGCCCTCGGGCTAATTTCACTCAGGGCCATCCTGTCCAGTCCAGGGCTTTTCCCTGCAAACTTCACCACCTCCCCAGGAAGCCAAAAGACATAGGTGGCTTTACACAGAATCTTTCCACAAGGTCCTCATCATACTCCCCCTCCTCTTTTTTTTCTTTAACTGCTTCATGTGCTCCAGAAACTAGCAAAAATACAAATAACATCTCAAAATAGCATCATTTCGGACAGCCCTCCTCCCACCATCCCATGAAAAAGTCCCCCTACTGTGACCCGAGGTGAGCTTGCACTGCACCAGGTGGGGCTCAGAGCCAACCAGGCAAGCCAGGGCAGGATGCCAGGGTTCAAAACAGCACTTCAGATGGCCGTCAAATGACAGCTTCTTTAACCTCAGCTAGCCTGGAGCTGACTGCTCCATACTCTTTATTCACTTGGGCAAAAGAGCCCCACTCACAACACCAGGCCCTACACAGCACTGCAGGATACTGAGGGAAGAAACTACCAGGAGGCTGAGAGCGAATTCATAGGCAATTCATTGCTTCTCAGCAACTCCTGCACATCTTGGGGGAAGAAGGAATTGTGGCGATGCCTGTAGCTGCCCTGCAATACACCTAGGCTTCTCACCCCCTTTCAACATACTCCTTGGAAAACGATCTATTTGTCAAAGCTGTTGGAAATACCAGTGCAGCGATGCTCAGTCTGCAGCCGGATAAGTGGCCCGGGCCACCTGGCAGGACACATCCAGAGTAACTTCCTCTTACCAGGAGGCTCTAGCATTCCACAGACCGTTAACAGGAAACTAGGAAGGGGACCACTCGTGATTCTCACCCCAGCTCCGTGAGGCAGCTGGCATGATCCTCATTTTTCAGATGACTACATTGAGGGCCAGGGAAATTAAGTAACCTGCCCCAAATTCAGGATAACGGGCCTATCTTGAGTGCCTAGGGTGTGCCAGGTCCTGCTAGCATACATTTTGGCGGGGGATCACACCGGGTGAGTGGAATGAATGCTCTATGGCTTAACGCCAGATGGCTCCATGCAGGGATGTGTACTTATATAGGATTCTTGTTATCAAGCCCAGGTGCTGTGTTTGCTTTAAAACCACTGCAGCTACTGTCTTTAAATCCCTTTGGGATTTTAATAAAGCATGTATGGAATAACCACGTGGCCAAACACGAAGGAAACTCAAAGGCTGGCCAGTCTAAACCTTCATGCTGGATGAGAACGTGGAGGTTCAAACACAGAGCGGCTCCCCCATGGTGCCAGAGCAAGCCCACCACTCTGGGTACCACAGGCTCACACCCCTTCTTCCTGTTACTGGACACGCACATACTCTGGACTTTCAGCGCTGGCCAAGCTGCTGCCCGGGCTGCCCGGTGGAAAGTGCTGAGCAGCATCTTTCCCCCAGGGCTCAGCCCTAAGGCAACAGGGCACAAGGGGCAGATCCTGGAGCTCTCCGCCCTCAAATTCTTCTGCTCCCCCTCTCCCACCGAACACGCACCTCCGAAGGAAAGATGTCCAGTGCCCCAGGGTCACCGGGAGATGGGCAGATCACCAGTGCCCTTTCTCCTTCCTCACAGTATCTCCTAAATGGACAGAGGCTCAAGTGACATTAATCATGAACATGTGAGTCAGCCTCTTGTCTCAGTGCTAAGCAGAGCTAGATCTGATGCAGCCTTTAGCGAAATGTCCCATTTCTATCCCCTTAGGCATCATCCCAGCCCACGATCATCCTCTTTAAGAGCATCAGGGAGCAGTTAATCCAATTGAAAATAGACTAAAAGTCATATATTGAATCCCCAGAAAAAAAGCACAAAGCAATAAAAGTTATGTTCATTATATATACCTACACACCAGTGGAGAAACTCCATATTCCCTAACTCATCACTGAAAATCAATACTTTTTTTTCCTTTAATAACTAGCTTATCTTTGCCATAGAGACCAATGCAAGCTCCCTTCTCAGGCCTGTTAAAACTCAGGCTCCCTCAGGGCACCTGGGTGGCTCAGAGGCTGAGCGTTTGCCTTTGCCTCAGGGCGTGATCCTGGGGTTCTGGGATGGAGTCCCACATGGGGTTCCCTGCAGGGAGCCTGCTTCTCCCTCTGTCTCTCGTGAATAAATAAATAATATCTTTTTCAAAATAATCAGTAACAAAAAATAAAACTCAGGCTCCCTCTGCCCTGGGACATGACAACAGCAAGGACACACAGTAGGGGATCTGGAAGGGTACAAAGCTATCATCAGAGGAGAGAAGACGTCAAGGGTGACATCACCCTTCTCAGTTATTTTCTAGAAGGTGGTACAGCAAGTGAACATCGGGAAATGGGATGACGCCTTACATTGCTAAGATGTACCAAGGAGCTGATGGTCCATCGTTTCGTATGTAAAACAAAATTCTTCGGTTTAGTGCTTGCTCGGGTCTGTCTTTTTTGGCTGGTAGCTGCCTGCAGGGGGTTGCAGAGCCCTGGACTCCTCAGAGTGTGGGGGCGACCCCTGCTCCCTGACACGCAGCTCGGGTGGGGGCTTTGCTCCCCCGAGAAGTGCCCCATCCCACTCCCAGCTTCTCTTCATTGCACAAGTGAGACTGTGTCACACCATCCTAATGACATCTAGGACGCGAGATCCCTTTCAGGAGGGGCTGGCTTCCCTGTCCGCAGAAAAACTGAAAAGGTCACTGCTTCTTCCCACAAAGCCTACTTCAGACCAACTGGCTGAAGCTAGAGGAAAAAAAAAAAAAAATCACGGCAGCCCACTCTGTAGAGATCCATGCCCTGCGGCTTCCTCCTTGTCATTCAGATGTGGGCTAAGATTTGTGAGGACAAATAACCGGCTTTCAAATATAGGGGTAACTATGGAAATAAATTAAGCCACTGATGCTGGCTTGATAAAACACAGACCTAGGAGACCACGAGGATGAGCGAAGGAGGGGGCCGAGGGAGCGGTCCCCCAGCGCCCCAAGTGAACTCGTTCCCCGGCCATCCAAGGGCATCTGGAATAGTCTGGAATAGCTCCTGGTTCTCCAGATACAACCGCTACGGAAGCCCTGCGGTGAGCAAGTGAAGACCATGATGCCGCGTCCTTAACCTGATTCCTGGAGAGAAACCTAAAGGTGCCCTTCCATCGTCTGCCTGCCTGGGAACCCTCCCGTCAGGTGTACATAGGCCTCAAATTCACGTACGGGGCAGGTGGTAACAGACGCTGCTGGTCTAATGCCTCCTCCCTTCCCTCTGACACACAGCTGCAGTCGTGAAATGAATAAACTGGGATTCTAAGTCACACGAGCCTCCAAGATAAAAGTCAAGCCAACCAAGGCACCTGCGGGCTTTGGAAAGTGTGTTGTTGTTTACATGATCACTGCACTTGCCAAAATCAAAGGCTCTTCGCTCCCTCCTCTCTGGGCACCCCTTTGCAGTAAAAATATAGCCCCTGAAGGAGAAATGAAAACGGAAATAAAACAGGAATAAAACTCATATCATATTAGCCGCCCTGTGGGCACTTAAACATTTCTAGGGAATTGCCACTTTATACTCAGGGTCTGGAATGAGGGCTCTTATCCGGTATTTAGAACAGCAGACAGGCAGCCCGCCTCTTGTATCACCGGCCTGAAAGAGCCACTCGCAGCCGCAACTTGACCATGAACAGGAGGGTCTGGGCTGCGACGCATGTGATGAGTGGGTCCCACTTGCCGCAAATGGCTCTGGAAAGGAGTGGCTCCGACCAGCCTCCTGGGGGGGATGGAGAAGGCTTTTCCTCCCCAAGCGCTGCAGAGATGCTGGCAAGCAGGGCCAGATCACACCAGGGGCTAAAGAAAGATATTTTCCGGGGGGCTGGGGAGGTGAAGGAGGGTGTGTCCAAAAAAACCACACTAGTTTTTTCTAAACTCCTTGCTCAATGATTATACAGAGCAATTGGGGGGGCACCTGCATGGCTCTGTTTGGTTAAGTGTCTGCCCCTTGATTTCAGCTCAGATCATGATCTTAGGGTCATGAGATCAAGCCCCGCAGGAGGGCTCCATGCTCCGGAGAGAGTCTGCTTGAGATTCTCTCTCCCTCTCCCCCTTCCCCCCCTTATGCATGTGCTCTCTCAAATAAATCTCTAAAAAAAATAGCAATCAATAACTCACCGTTTGGGCTTTCACTCCACTAGTTCAGCCTGGTACAATGAGAGAGAGCCCAAACAGATGCAAGAAGGACAGATTTTGACCTGCGCCATTGATTCTAAGTAGCTAAATGTAAAAACTGTAAAACACTAAGCAGGTGGAAAGCACAGGAAGGGAGGAAGACACCCAGACAGAGTCTGGACACTGGCTCTGGTCCTGCCGCTGCCCTGGGGCAGGTGCTTTCTCTTCCACTTAGGAAGGGAACTGAGTGGGCACCCGCTTTGCAGTAAAAATATAGCCCCTGAAGAAGAAATGAGAACTTCTTTGCCTACAAAATGGCAGGACTGGCCCCAAAGCCCTTGCTGAAGCCTCTTCAAGCTCTGATGCTCCATGCTTTTCACCGCCCTTCTTTAATCAGAAACTATTATCCAACTGCAAAATGCTGTTTCCAACACACTTGTTTACAACGCTGACAATGTGAGTCACACATCTTGTTCATAATTGAGGATGCGATTGGCACAAATTATATCAAAGACTATATACAGCAGCTCACTAGGAAAGTCCTGTTAAGGAAAGCAGAATGTAGCCCTTCTCTAAGCAGAGCCATGGGGCGCCCAGAAATGCTGCCGGTCCCCCCAAATTCATGTCTATTGGGCTTGGAAAATATTTTAAAAGATACAAAAAAATTATGAGCGTTTTGGAGGGACGACAGAGTTTATGCTACATCAGTATTAAAATTTGTTTGCATTTCCATATTACAAGGTGCCACTGGAGAGGCTTTTGAAATTTGCTGGGTACCTGGGGGAACCAGTTAGGGATGCCAGTTTTGTTCTAAATTGCAAAGCGGATTACTCATAAGAAGAGATTGACTTTCACAGGTCACAAAACAAAATTAGGTTTCTCTTGGAAGATTCCCTTTTTGTGTGCCCCAAATAGTGTTGGGTGACTACAAACGGTAAACTCTTTGGAGTATTTCATAGGATAAAAGGTCCCACTGGCTTTAAACAAGCTTCTTCCCCATGGTGTGAGCAAAGCATTGAAAACGAGAATGAGGTTTTTAAAAAAGCTTTTCATTTACCATTTGCATTTGGAAGATTGGAATACTCACACCATTTTAGCCAAGTCCCTAAGTGCTGTGTTAAGCATCTCAGCTAGGAACACTCGTGCCCAAGTGATTGAAGACATTACTGTTGTAACGCCTTGCCAATTTTCCTCATGTAGCGTTTGAGCTGTTTGCTTTCTCAGAATACAAAACCCAGAGACGTCTTCTGTAATTACACCAGATGCATTTAGAGAAGCACTCTTGGAGGCTAAGAACAACCCTACAACTACGGTTTGGTTTTCTTGCTGAAGAAGAGAGGAACCTGCAAATGGCACCTCAGTAACGATGCTTCGAGGTGGGGCTCCCAGTCACCCTGTCCTCATGAGGTTCATTTGCACTTAGCACACTTTACCCGGAAGCTTCATAATATTGCTTGACACAATATTGGGGGGGCTGAACGTGGCTTGGGATTGTTAAAATGTCTTTGGTGGCCCCATACCTGGTCCAGAGAGTCAAACTGCAGAAACCCCGGGGCCCCCTCACTCAACAGACCTCCTCTTCTCTGCCCCAGAGCTGGTCCCACTCTCACAAGAGCCCTGTGCTTGCTTGAATGCTCTGCTGTTACGGTCTTGAAATGCTCAATGATGTTTGAACAAAGGACCCTGCAAATGACATAGCTGGGCCTGCTTCCCCTACCACAGGCCAAAGCCTGGGTAGAAGCAGAGATGTCCCTGCTCCCAGCCTACATGGGGTGCCAGGCTGACCTACTGAAAATCATGCTTGGCTCCCGCCTCTTCAACTTGGCTCTAGAACCTCTAGTGGCTCCCAAGCACCCCCCTCACACCAACAAAACCCCCCTCCTCTCCCAACCTGGCACTTGGGGCCACTTACAGCCTTGTCTTGGACCCTCCTTGTCACCTTGACTTCCTTATTCGGACTCATTCCACTCACGGGCTCCTTGCCTACTGTAATCTTTGTCTCTGCTCATGTGTCTGGGGCTGGTTCACAAGTAGGACTCTGGGCACTCCCCTCTACCATTTTTTCTGCCTTTAAAGCTACCATGTTTGTAGAGCAACCCACCCCACCACTCACACTGCCCCAGCTCCCCCTCTTTGCAGCCACCACCTTCAGGGATTGCCTCTTCCTTTTCTCTGCAAGCCTCCTGTCCTATACTTTGATCCCCAAGGTACCAAGCAGAGCTGGGCCACCTCAGCTGTAGAAGAATACTTGCCGGATGGCCACTGACAGCAGAGATGTGAACAATTATTCAAAATTCGGAGGGGTCCAAAAAAAAATCACCCAGAATATCCAGATTAACATAAAGCTAGGTTGGGGCATTATTCACTGGTTTGACTTCTCCAAAAAAACAGCCTCACTTTTCTATTTGTGCACTGGGACGCAGCTCAGTAGCTGGCCAGGGAGCTGTTTACACTGCCCAGGGCCTCAGAGGCAGCTAAGAGGTCCATCTATGCAGCAGGACTACTGGTCTTTCTCCACATTCCCCCCACCCCTCTCCAACTGCCACCTTGAGCCTTTACCACGCCAGCTTGAAAGCAAACCACCCTGGCTTTCTATAGGGAAGTGGATGACCCGGGGTAGAAGAAAAGACAGAGCTGTGTGACACACAGAAGCCAATGCTGATGCCATGGTGGCTGCAGAGGTCTTGCTACCCAAGGGTGATTCTGACAAATGTACTACTGAAATCTGGCATTTAGACAGAACCCGAGTTCTCCCACTCAGGGAGGGACCCTTTACTCTGTTTCAATAGTTTCTTATTTTCTAAGTGATAGAAGGGGCAACCAAAAGGTTGAACAAATAGGAGATCGCAATTAAGGAGAGAAACATGAGGAGGAGGAGGGTGGGGGTGGAGGTTTCTCCCCACCTCACCCACCACTGGTTTTCCACATTCTGATAAATGAACAAGAAACAGAATTCTAGGGAGAAAAGACCTTGCAACAATATAAATATAAAATTCCTAGGCCAGATGGCACCTGGATGGCTCAGTAGGTTGAGCCTCCAACTCTTGGTTTCAGCTCAGGTCACAATCTCAGGGTTGAGGGATTGAGCCCGGCATTGGGCTCCATACTCAGTGCAGAGTTGGCTTCAGATTCCTTCTCCCAGGTCCCCCTCTGCCCCTCCCCATGTGCCCCTTTATCTCAATCTCTCTCTCTCTCTCTCTCTCTCTCTCTCTCTCAAATAAATAAACAAACTCTTTTAAAAAGACACCAACCAAAAAAAAAAAACCCCTCCTTGGCCAAAATTTCAGCACCTACCCACCTGTTGGTCAACAACCCTATGAAGGGGTTGGTCAGGAGCTGGATGGTGGCTTTAGAGGCAAAAAGCAGGCCAACTTGCACATTTTCATTCAGGAGAGCTTTGTCTTCTCTGGGACAGTCAGGAGGCGCAGCGGATGTGTTAGTCACCGGGTGCTGCGTGGTGGCCGGGTGCTGCGTGGTGGCCGGCTGCAGCCGCCCCTCAGGGGGTCCTTTGGGACTGCCAGTCCCCGTGACAATGGTGGAGTTGTCATAATAAGAGAAGATGCTCTGGAAGCTGTCTGAGGTAGAGGTGGTGAGCACTGGCTTGGGAGTCTGGATTTCCGTGGCATTCTTCTCATGATTAATGCTGTACAAGTAGCTTGGGATGATAGGGACTGCGGGCAAAAACACAACAGGGGGGCTGTGGCTGTATGGGAGCCCACCCCGGGGCCAACAGCAGCAAAATGACGGTTGTGTCAGATGCCACCCAGGGCCCAGAGTGGTCTGCCCCTGGAATGGGATCCCTGGGCCCACACTAGAAGGGCCTCATGCGGCAGAGCTACTGGAGAGAACAAAGACCCAGGAGTCCAGGAGACCTCCAGCCACCCTCAGAGCCAGCTACTGTGCAGGAGGGACCTGCCTGGAGTTCTGGGCCTCTGTGGGGCTGCTCATTCAGGGTTCCCTCATAGGAATACATTAGGAGAGCAAAATGTGGTCTGAAGTCTGTTCAGTGCTGACCTGGGGTCAACAGGAGCTCCCCAGAGAGAGAAACTCAGAAAGACCTTTAAGTGAATGAATCCAGGAAAGAGGCATCTCAATTTCATTATGGGTCTTAGGGGAAAAATAAGCCCACAGGAAGTAATAACTCGGAAATCCTGCAACAGGCCCACTTCATCTTTCCATTACTTGAGTCGGAAGTCCCCCCAATGTTTCATGCAACCTGGAAAATGTAAAAACTCCTGAGACTTCCACAAAGGCAAAGAAAAACTCATGTAAAAGCAGCTCTGGGCCTGTGTGTGACAACAAAGCATTCAACACAAAGGAGAAGCGTGGTCCTTGTTACTGAACTCTGATGAGATCCCTACCCAGGTAATCCTGGAGGTGAGAACCCACAAATGCAGAGGAGGGGAATAACCCATCCCTGAGAATCCAATTTCTTTTAAAAAGCTATTCATTAAAATTTTGGAGATTTTTAAGAAAAGTACACCAAATACTTTGCTCTTAATGGGGCTTATTAGAAGACCTGGATTTTAATTATTTAGTTCTTCAAAACTCCATTGTAGAGAAAAGACTAAAATCCAACACTGTTCAAACTGCTCTTGAAAAAGTCCCGAAACGTTTCCACCTGGAGCCTTGCACACTGATACAACATATTTCCAGGTCACTTCCCTTTTGGGAGGGAGGGATGCTGACCCTTTCCTTTAAATGATAAGCCAAATTGCTAACAACTATTAACATAATTCCAGGTTAGCATAAGAATAATCATCATTTTTGCATAATAATTATTGTAATAATAAGGTCAGCATAAATTTTTTTTGCATAATAATTATTGTAACGTTATTTTGAACCCCGAGGGACTGCCGGTTCTTAGTAGAAATCTTTTCATCGCGGTCAAAGCAGGCAGGGGGAAGCAGGAAATTATCAGGAGGAAACACAAGTTCTGGTTCTTAACAGATGTCACATTTTTTGACTTGACCACCAGGAAAACGAAGCCACAAAACGCGGCTGCAGCCAGCCCAGTGGGCAGACGTGGGGATGGGGATGGGGGGCGCGGGGAGGAAGGAGGTGAGGTGCTTTTGCAAAGTGTGTCCCCCAACCTTCCCGGGGCGCGCTCAGGCAGGGGAGGTGGGGCGGCCGGGGAAGGGGTCCCTACGTACCCACGACGGTGAGCAGCATGTTGTCCAGCAGCAGCGCCAGGAACACGATGAACAGGATGAGCTTCCTGGAGTGGCGGCTCTCCAGCAGCCAGCGGAGCAGCGCCGGCGCGCTCAGGGCCATGCTCGGCGGCTGGGCTGCGGGCGGGCGGGGGCACGCTGAGGGGCGGCGGCCCGGGGGCTCCCCGCGCCCCCCACACCCGGCCGGGTCCCCGCGTCCCCCGCTCTGCTCACCTGCGGCGGCTGCCCCCTCGGGGCACCGGCGCTCCGGCTCAGAGACGCGCGCCCGCGGCGTCGGGGCGCGAACCCGGGGCCCCGCGGGGGGCCGTCCCACTCCTCCCGCCCCGGGCCCCCGCGCCCCGTGCGTCCTGCGCCCCCGCTCGCCCCGAGACCCCCGCGCGGCCCGGGCACCCCTCCCCGCCGCCCCCGCCGGGCCCCCCGTTACCTCGAGGTCGCCTGCGGCTGCCTGCCCCGCGCCCCGGGCTCCGTCCGTCCGCGCGGCTCCACCCCAGCGCCCCGCCGCCGCCGCCGCGCGCTTTACCCGGTCCGGCTCTGACGTCACGGCCGGCGGGGCGGGAGGGCGCCACCCCCAGTCCCGGCCTCGGGGGGGGGGGGGGGGCACCCTGCCCGGACCTGTGCCCGCCTCCCCGCCCTCCACCGCGCCCCCGCGACGACCGCGACCCAAGGGATGGAGAGGTCAAGGGCCCCGGGTTAGGTCAGGGGCCCCACGAGGAGCCCGGATTCGCGCTTCCACCTGGACAGCTGCTCCCCGAGCCTCGCTGCCCCCTGACACTGGCCGTGAGGACAGGAAGGCTGCTGGGTGGGGGTCGCAGGGTGTTGGGAGACAGGGACGGATCTCTTTCCCGGGGAAGGCGCGCCGCGCCCCACCGCTCCTCTCCTGTCGCCCCTCTGGAGCATGATGCACGGTGCCGCTTGGGGTCTTTGACCAGCAGGGCCTTGGGTACCCTCACAGGGAAAGGGGACACCTCTCAGCGTCACCCTCTAGTGGGAGAGGGGACGTGAGGACCCCAGGCCCTGGAGCCTAGTACTCCAAAGTCCTAGGAGAAAGTTGGAGCAGGGGCCTGGGCATCTGGAGCCCCCAGGAGTAGGTCACCCTGGACAGGGGACACTAGAGACCAGGCAAGTACCTGGCACGTTAGCAAAAGGACTGAAGAGGCAGCTGGCCCAGACTCTGGATGCTGTCTGTAGTCCCCTGCTGGGTGCTGTGCCAGGTGGGGAGGTGGGGAGGGAACCTGGGGGGGGGGGTCAGGTTAAGACAGACACAGTGCCCGTTTGTGGGTGCTCAGGAGCTGTAATCCTCACTACCAAGGGGTAAGGGCCCATTCTGGATTTCCAAGGTCCCTCCATTTTATAAGCAGCAGAGAAACAAACCGATGTCCCCCTGACACAGCTGGAGCTTTGGAGACCCTTCTAGGGGGTGGAAAGAACTGGAGCTATTTTCTTGGAAAGCCACTTAGAATAAATGTTACTCTGCTACAGTCTCCTAACCTGGAGCCCAGCCTTGTTTTATTAATGTTGGCTAATTGTCAGCTGGACACTGCCTACAGCTGGGGGGGGGGCATGGTGCCCTCCCACCCTCTCACCTCCTTCCTTCCATACACCCCCATGCTCCCCCTGATGTGTAAGAAAGATGGTTGGATAAGTAAGTAGGTCAGTAACATGGGGACTCCGGGATGTCCCAGGATGTGTCAACTTAAATATTAAACAGGGAGAGAAGGAAAACCACTTAGGAGGAGAGGGCAGATGGCAGGGAGTCGTGTAGATGGCTGTGGAGGGTATCACCCTCACAGAGTGCCCCCAAGAGCCCGGAGTTCCAGAACCCAAAGACACAGGCTCTGCTCCATGCTTCCTTGGGCAGAGAGGTGTCATAAGGGCTCTTGTCAGGATGCCTGCCTGGGTCGCGTTCTGCTACTTCCTTGAGAGGTGACCTTGGGCAAATTATGTAGCTTCTCTGTGCCTTAGTTTCCCTGTCTCTGAAATGGGGATATTAACTGCGACAACTGTGGGGTCGTGGTAAAGGTGAAATGGGAATCCCTTAATACAGTGCCCCGCGCAAAGCAAAAGCTTGGTGTATCCGCCATCCATTCCTCCAATAAATATTTATTGAGTGCTTACTATGTGCCAGGCACTATGGTTGATGCTGGGGACACAGTAATGGCCCAAGCAGGCAAAAAATCACCATTCTTGGGGTGCCTACACATTCTGGTAGCAGTGCCATACAGGTGAACACGGGAAGCCACACCAGCTCCAGCCCAGCCAGTGGGAAGAATCTGGAAGCCCACGAAAAAGCCACTCTCCATGCTCCCTCCCTCTGATCTACGCCACCACCCCTGGAGCACTGTGGCCACAACAGTGTCTTCACACTTTTCACTGATACCCACAAAAGAATCCTCTAAAAATATGTATGCCCCACACATATTTGAGTTGGCATCTAAAAGGTTTTTTTAATAAATTTAAATGCTTTGGGGTATAGTGTATATGTTGACCCTTATATATAAACCAGCCTAACTCTCACTTAAACGCACCCAATGGAATATAAATAGTACAAGAACGTAAAACCACCGTATTATACTAAAAAAAGTACAATGAAGTTTCTCTTTAAGTCAAAAAAATTTTACTTTATATTCTTTATGCCTTCAAAGTATATTTTCACTGCACTTCCAACAGAATTTGATCCAACTGTAATGTTTTTATCACTTAACTTCTTTATTTACCGCCTTGTCTATTACATAAACTGCAACAAATTATGAATATGCATCAGCTTTAAAAAAAGGTTTTTTTCTGGCTGTATGTTCTAAGTTTTAAAATTACCTTTACAATCGTGTTATTGGGACAATCATTAAGGCATCATACACACATAAGAATTTTGATAAATGAATATTAAACATAGTAAGAAAAATTGTAGGGGTGCCTGGGTGGCTGTCAGCTAAGCATCTGCCTTCGGCTCAGGTCATGATCCCAGCGTCTCAGGATTGAGCCCCACATTGTGCGCCCGCTCAGCAGGGAGTCTGCTTCTCCCTCTGCTCCTCACCCAGCTCATACTCTCTCTCTCTCTCTCAAATATATAAAATCTTAAAAAAAAAAAAAGAAAGAAAGAGAGAAATTGTATTAGAAGGGCATGACTCAGTGAGATGGATCGGGGAAGGATTTTTTGAGCCTTGACAAAACAGACACTAACATTGCCTCTGGATGGTTTTGTGCCTCTGGACAATATAACACAGTAAGGTAGTAAGAATCAGGTTGGGTGAGAATTGAGTCTCTTCTCCGACCAGTGGGAGACAGGAGATTTAGTGAATGGGGAGGTGATATAGGAGCAACCTCATGTCTCTACCCGGATCCATGTCAATCCTTTAAAATAGAGGACATGTGTAAATCAAGGGTTTCCCATGGCTTGGGAAGCCTTCACGTATACCCAGCATCCTGGCATTCCAGGTTGAAGATCCAGCCTGGGATGGCCAGTCTGATCTGGATCTTTGGGACTCCATAACCTTCTCTTATCCCACTTAGCCCCTGCCTTCCCCTTCAGCCACCCTGGTTCCTCTCAGTGTTTCTCTGCCTCAGGGCCTTTGCACTGTTCCCTTTGCCTTAGAAGTTCTTCCTCTTCTTCTCCTGGCTACCACCTTCTCATTCTTCTTTATCAGCCCTAATGTCACTTCTTAGGAGAAGCTATCCTTTCATGGAAACCCCCCTCCATTATCAGACAGGGTCTTCTCTTTTAAACCCTCACGGAACAGTTACTTCCTCCAGAACTTGTCTGCCCATGAGGAATAATATTCCCATGAGTGTGATCAATTATCTCTGTCTCTCTAGGTTATAGGACAAGGGGCACTCTTTTTGATCGTCACCAAGATTGCTGAACACAGTCGATGCTTATTAAGTGCCTGTAAAGAGTATGTGCACTGGGCAGGTAGGGTTCCCTTCTGATGCAGAGCCATGGGAACCAGAGAGAAATCACCTTTGCTCAAAAAGGAAGATTCTATTTTTCTTTCTCTCTCCCCTGCTGGAGGCCACTCCTTGAAGACCAGGCTCTGAGAAAGCCTCCTAGTAACACATTTGTTCTTACTGGGAACTAGGATCAGTGAGCTCAGCCACCGACCCCCCTGCTTCCACCCGCTCCCATCCTTTTCAAACACTAGGGACTGGAAAGGTACAAAGGTGCCACCAGGGTTGACTTTTTGCAGTAAATTTCAATATTTAGGAACGATAAGGCATGAATGATAGGGAGCTGCTTCGAACATAGCAGCTATTTGAAATAGGCGTTATTCGAGATAAACTAGAATGAATCTAAGCTATAAATAGCATCCTGCCTGGGTCACTTTTACAAGTTATATGACTTTGGGCTTTTACTAAGCTCCTTTGTGCCTTATTCCTCATCTGTCATTCAAGCATGATAAGAGGCCCCCTCCCAGAGCTGTTATGGGGATTCAAGGAGATGATGCTTGCCTAGTGCCAGGCACATAGCAGATGTTCACACTCATAAAATATTGTCTGGCATTGGAAAAAGACACATGAAAAGATGTTTAACATCGTTCATCATCAGGGAAATGTAAATCAAAACTACAATGAGATATCGCCTCACACCTGTCAGAATGGCTAAAATCAAAAACACTAAGTAGCTTGTTGGCGAGGATGTGTAGAAAAAGGACTCAACTGCACTGTTGATGGGAAGGCAAACTGGTGCAGCCACTGTTGAAAACAGTGTGGATGTTCCTCGAAAAGTTAAAAATGGAACTACAGTATAATCCAGGAATCATACTACTGGGTATTTACACAGAAAATTAAAAAAAAAACATTAATTCAAAGGGATACATGCATCCCTATGTTTGTAACAGCACTATTTACAGTAGCCAAACTATGAAAGCAGCCCAAGGGCCCGTGGATAGACAAATTGATAAAGAAGATTGAATGTGGATATGTGTATAGTGGAATATTATTCAGCCATAAAAAAGAATGAGATCTTGCCATTTTGCAACAACATGGCTGGAGCTGTAGAGTATAATGCTGAGTGAAAGAAGTCAGTCAGAGAAAGACGAATACCATATGATTTCACCCCGTATGTGGAATTTAAGAAACAAAACAAATGAAAAAAGGGGGAGAGAAGAGAGGCAAATCAAGAAACAGAGTCTTCACTCTAGAGAACACACTGCTGTGGACCAAAGGGGAGATGGGTGAGGGGGTGGGGGGAACAGGTGATGGGGATGAAGGAGTGCACCTGTTGTGACAAGCCCTGAGTGATGTATGGAAGTGTTGCTTCACTATATTATTCACTTGAAACTAAATATAAATAACACCACTAACTATACTGGTATTAAAACAAAATGAAATCAAAATTTTAAAAAGTGTTGTCTGGCATTGGAAAAGTGAATGTGCTGAGTACCTGGAAGGTGTAGGTGGTCCGTGGGGAAATTTTTCAGGTACTCGCCCTATAACAGAACTTGGAATTAAGGAAAAGATTCCACTCCCAGGCATTGAACTGGGAAAGGCAAATAGTGTTCGGAGGCATCTTCAAA